TGAGTTTCGACAGATTGCTCGCTTGCTCATCCCCGGGCGCATTAACATCTCCATGCCGATCGCGATGCCGACGATCTTTTCGGCATTTGAAATCTCAGATCTCTCCTTAATAGAATGTGATTACGCTCCCTGCTCTGAAAGTCGGGACGCTAGTGAGCCGAATCTACACGGAGGAAGCAGCGAAGAAGATAAAAGACTGATTATCCATGCAAATCTGTTCGAGAGACGTGAAAACGAGGGAGATTGAGAACGGCCAGCGCAAGGGGATCAGTCGGGGGAAGACGCTTGCTCCTCTGGGGTGGGGAAGAGAGCACGAGAGGTCTCAGAAATAAATCGAAAGTAAATTTCCATCTCTGAATTCTCATCGTCCCGTCTTGCAGCCAATCTCTTTTTAATCCTCCCGATTTCCCCACTGCGTGTCCTGTATCCGTTCCGGTCATGGCACAATCTCCACACGCCTAGATGATAAGTCTGCTTCCGATGGGAAAAGGCGAACATACAGCGATACCCGAACGATGGGCTGTAGGCGCGACCGAGGAAGTGCGTGTGTGTGTGTGAATGTGCGTGTTTGTAAGTGCGATGCCATGGGGAGCTCCGGGGTACGCGTGCTCGTTCTAGCGGACGACATAATATGCGGGTCGTAATCCCTTTTAGGGCTCAATCGCAAGTCATTTACAGCTAAGCCAAAGCTCATCCGTGGGTTCCTTCTCCTCTCTCGGACACTCGCCGTATATTTTCCCGCTCTCTCCAGTTTACTCACAGTCTTTGTATCGGCCGTTCTGTCGCCATGACGCTCATTTCGTTCAGAGAGCGCCGTGAAGCTCACAGAGAGATGCATTTTCCCGGGATATACCCCGAGATCAGGACATGAACGACATTTAAGACGGATGGCTGGCTACTACGAAAATCCCAAAAACGAGCATCCAATATGAGAGAACTCCGAGGATTTCCTCAGAAAAATATTCGGAGGGACCACTCCCAGACTTTCGAACGACGTGGAGCGATTAGAATAGTGTCACGCTCGTTCATCGAGCCAGAGCGCGGACGGATGCTCTCGGGAGGAGATTAGAGCCTACGGAGCGCGCATACTTCGGTGCTCCGAGAGACAGGTGAGGAGTGGGAGCCTCAAGCAAACACATCGGAGTGCCTGACGGCTATCGACTGTGCGCAGCTACGGCAACTGCACCGCATCGCATCCTACTCCAGAGCCGCCAAAAGCCTTGGTCAACTATTACCTGTACAATCAGGAAGCCGCGAGCTGATAAGTCGCTCACTGTCTGTAGCTTCCGTGGGCTACTCCCGGTTTGCGTTCCACACTGGTCGGTTAGTCAGAACGCTTGTGGTTTCAAAGATGGGCTCTCACTCTGCGCACAATGCGTTTCCGGCAGGGGTGCCGACAGGGGATTGGTAAGAGGAGGGGTAGCGGAGCCGAAGCCCGGCACCGGGTTTGGGGATTGGTTTGGAGGGGCGGGGGTTCGGCTTTTCAAGTCCCCAGTCTCCACTGTCCGACGGTTTGCCCGACCGACCGACTGACTGACCGGCCGGCCTGCCGTTTGGCCGAGCGCTCGTCCGGGCGACGACGGCGGCCATCTCGGCATCAATCCCTTCCAGCATGGGTTGCTTCCACATCCCGGCGATGTCCACAAGCGTTTATCTGATTTTTTGCCACGTCGTTGGTCTTCGTTTCTATTGAAGCTTTATGGCGCGTGCCGCCGCCGACGTTGTTCGTGGCGGCCGGACCCTTGAAGGAGCTCCGCCATTCCCGCACACCAGCCCGTTTGATTTCCCTCCGACTCAAACCACGCTGCTGATCCGCGCTTCTCGTATTTTTCTTCGGCAACAAACGTTCTGTGCCCTTGAGGAATTCAGCAGCACTCGGAGTCGTTGAAAGGATTTGAATACGATCCGAAGATCAGAATCATGACCCGTAACAAGCTTCCGTCACGTCGGAGGCACCGAAGGGTTGCCGCGCAGAGCCGGTATCGTTTTCGAGGCTCATCGCTACGATCTTTGTTCCTTCGGTCTATGGCAAAGCTCGTTTCACGGTTTAGTTCACCGGCGTCCTTTAGACTTCCTTTTTTACCCCCACGGCGCGGCGCCCCATTATCCGCCTCCCCCTCGTCCGCAACGACGAGCCAGCGGGCGGACTGGTCCGACGGACGCACGGATGGGCGACCGGCCAGGCACACCGAGCGAATGACGAACAGATCTAGATTTAACATCGCTCCAAACGTCAACCTTGTCTACTAGACGACGTTGAGTCTAGCTTGCTCCTGCGAAACTGAATTACGCTGTTGCGTATGTGCAAAAGGGTCTCTGTGTGTGAGTTTTTTTTTTCGTTCCGGAATCGCCCAGCCCTCTGAAGGTTCCGCCGCAACGTAAGCTGGTAATGAAAAAATCTCGCTCCGTAGCTGCGATCTAAGTGCAGAGCACGTCACGGTACATGATACGTAGCCTGATTGTGTAAGATTCGGATGGAAACCGGTTCTCTGAAGACGAACATCTAATCACGCTGTCGAGGAGCTGTCGGAGGAAATCCGGCACGTGTAATGTAACGCAAGTTCCCCGAGAAGACGTAGCGACGCATATGCGTCAACCCGTCGGAATTATTCGGAGTGAACTCGGGACCTGCGATACTAGTTTGAACCCTCGTCCATGGCTTTCCTCTTCTCGCTCAGGAATATCGTCGGGCGATGCCGAGCATTACGGAGGCCCCCATCCGCAGGCCCCCAACGCTTTCGGGGAACAAGGAGTAAAGTTCGTCATCTACTTCTCAGTGAGGGACGTGGGCCGTCGGGTCGCGAGCGTTCTGAAATATAACGAGGTCTGGCCGCATCGGAATCCTCCTCTGTGTACAATTCTTGCGTGTTCTCCTGTGACGAGGTTACTTTCTGACGTGTGCCCAACTCCTTAGCGAGACGCTGCACCCAGGTCAGGAGGATCCGTTGTTGTTAACGATGCATCCGCTCGAGAGTCACGTGGCTTTCTATCAGAGTTTTTTCTTTTGAAAATCGTTCCAGAGTTTCCGTCAGGACCTCTTGAAGTCTTTTGCTGGAGACTCAGAAACTCAGTTGGCAGGAGAATATTACATCCGTCTGGAGGAAGGATGTCAGAGTGAGGCCATCAATCAAGTGAAACACTGTAATTGTGAGACGGGGAATTTGAAAAGGAAGCTGCGACGAGCGTTCCCGGGTCGCGAACATCGTCCGACAGGAGCCCTAGGAGTTCTCTGCAGGCGACTACAGGGATATGAAGCACACGAACTTATCAATTTTCGCGGGAGAGAAGTTGGAATGGGAGCTGCTAATCGGCGATGATGAATCCAATCCATTGTCCGAATGATTTTTCATGTTTCAGCTTTCCAAAAAGCACCCGCTTTTTTTATATCCCCTGTTCGAGTGTCCGATTCAAGGTCGCTGGCGGATTCAGGACCATTGTAAATGAGAACGAGCTCGAGTTTCCAGTTCATGAATATCGTCATCGAAACTTTATTAACGGCACAATCATGATAGAGCACAGGGGCTTCCGCTGAGAGGTCGACGCTCGATTGCATTTCCTATTCCAGGTTCCGACGTCCGGCGACCTCACCACCGCAAGCTTCGCTCAGGGCAAGCGGCTTTTATCTCCTCTCTTCGCAATCCCCAGTTCCACTAAGTACAGACACACATACGCACATACTTGTCTCCAATCAATAACAAGTTTATCTAGCGGCAGGGTGTTTTGTCTTGGGGTTTTTTATAGTTCCGTAATCGTTCGTCGAACGTGTTTTGAGCACGGTCAGTCGGTTTCGAGTCTCTTATCTTAAATGTGGCTGTGATGCTCGATTCCACAAATTGCGAACGGACCTTTCTCAGAGCAGTAATCTGTAACTGCCCACAAAACTCGCGGTCGCTTCATAAGTTCGAATGACTCGGACCGGCGCAGAGTCCTTCACATCTAAATCTGATCGCAAGCTCTCAGGCCATTCTCCGCACGTATCTCTCACACTCGGTTAATCGCTTCATTCAGTGCCGTGATCACGGCTTTCGCTAGACTCTCTTCCTCTACCGCTCATTCTCGCATCCCGGCTTGCCCTTCCCTTACCACTACAAACGACATATCACAGAATCCACGTCGTCGATATGAAGGCACTTTCAGGTGGCGTGGTTCACCAGCTATTCTCTACTCCCACAATGAATGAAGAAAAACACGGGAACGAATCATTCGATGATCAAGCTTCAAGATCTTCGAATCGTCCCCTTTTTCCCCCGCTACAAAATACGGTTATCCTCCTCCTCGAGGGAAATATCCAACACTTTGTTCTTGAACTCCTAGCGGGCTTCTGTCCTGGGAGAGAGTCTCCACCTTCTCCGTCTTAGCTCCGAGCTCCTCATTGTCTTCTTCGTTCCAGGAGCGCTGCCCACTGATTCTGAATTTTCCTGCCCGAGCTTTAGAGTCGACAAATTAGGATCCACTTCCGTCAAGAATCTATTCGATTTGGACTCCTCCTTCAATGATGGAGGGCATCCTTACTTTCCTTCATCACGTCACGCTCCCGAGGTCGGAGCACCGACGACACGCATACATTCGGGAAAGAAAAACGGTCTTCTCATCAGTGCATATAGGTGTCGTCCGGACGAGATCACTTTCCTTTTACATGTGAGCGCCTAGGAATCCCGCGGGCTTTGTACAGCTTTCATGCTTTACGCTAGAGCATTCGAAAGATACATTCAATTGATATAAAAGAGGATTCTGAGGACCTCGAATCGCCACCGGTTGACCTATCATGTTGTTGCCACACATAGAGTGAAAGGCTGAACTCCAATGTGACTTCTCGAAAAGGTCAAAATATTCTCTTGTCCTTCTGCCGCCGAGGTCTCGGTGCGCTGTTCGGAGGTCTCTGCAGGTCCCGCTTGCAACAACTACACCCAGTCCCGAGGTTTGGGTGTGACGAGATTCGTTTGATCCAGTGAAGATTTTTTTGATGTGGTCAGCGTTGCTGTTCCTAAATCGGCGTCCTCCTACGAGCGGTATGTACAGTCCGAGTAGATTGAAGACTCTTCATTAATCGTGGATGGATACGGCTTAGGAACTGAAATTGATGAATCAATTCATTGACGATGAAAGATAATTGTGTCGCTTGCAGAAAAGAATAATGGACTCGGAGAGACCGAGGAGGATTGGAATGTTCATCTAGTGAAATAGATGGAGCCGCCCCAAAATCGCAGAGAACTTCACTCCGATCGGACTACGACCTTCGTTCATTTGATTCGCCAGTCGCCTTCGCTTGAGATCTTCTGCATCTCTGCCTTCGACGAACTTACCCTTGTAGCCGTACGAGGTGTAGCATGCGGTTTTACCGTCCCCGAAGTCAGACATTTCCTCGAACTCTTCCATGCTATTCTGGCGACACGTTCCAGTGCTGGTGCCTAGGAACGAAGACGTTTTGTCCCTGGAAATATTGATGCAACTGTGAGGAAATCCGCGCCGATCCATCTTTTGACTAATCCCGAAGCGCTAATCTAAACCGAGTTTGGGATCCACAACCGAACGCTTGGTCGAGATTCGAGAGACCAGCGGAAGCTGGAGGGAGGAGGGCGAGGAGAGCGAACGGATATTTCGATTGAAGAGCAGCTGATCGATCCGCGGCACACTTAAAGACTCGTCGCTAATGGCCAGACTCGTGCTCGTACATAGCTGTGAGCTGAGCTGTAAACGTCGGCTGTCCGGATGAACGTCGCGCGAAGATGAAGTGAACTGACCGAACTCGCCAGCTACCATGACGTATCGTGACGGCCGTCCGTCTCGGTCGACTGGCCTATACTTCCCACTGCGCTACTTTCTCCGAGAAGTTGTCTAGGCCTTGCTTGTTCCTACCACCCACCCCCTCCCTGCACATTCAGCCTCCGCCGCTTTCTCGGCGACAATCGTTTCCTTTCCTCCCCGGGGGAACTACTCCATCCTCTCGGTTTCTTACGTCTCTGAGACATGAGCGCTCTATCTCACACCGGAACACATCAGATTTGACTCTCGCGCACGGCCAAGTGATCGTCATTACTGAGATTTCGCGGCTTTGACCGCAGCCTGCCGTCCCCGTGGCCGCTAAGACACATGCGAAACTACTGCCTACCGATAAGACGAGCTGATAGCCTTCGAGGTTTCATAGTTTGGAAACGCTCCTGTTTTTTTTTACTTACAGTGGACTGCTTTCTTCGCTGTACTGCAATCGGTGCTTCCCACCTGGAACAAAGAGTACCTCCATTCAACGACGTTGTCCTTCGGTTGTGGCGTCGTTCGAACCACAGATTGATACTCCTCCACCCCTGGTCTCCACGCGTATCGGTCCTTTGAGGTTTGCTCCGGTATCCCGCAGCGTCGAGAACTTCCGAGGGGAATTCGACCACCCTATCGAGCTAACTCCCTTCTCCAAGAGCTCTCGATCCCCTTCTGGATACTCCGCAATTACCATTGACATCGCTGCGAGGTCATCGCCGGAGATGGCCTCTCTTGAGGATAAATCAGCTGTCGAGGAACGACGCGGATAGAATAAATTCATAGCGTACTGCCGAAACAGGGTCAGTCTGGCCAAAGCTCACTCCGGTGCCCGTCCGAAGGAATGGGAATCATTCTCGATCTCCGTCGGGGCTCCGTAGAACGGCCGTCGGATTTGAACCGGCGAATTTTCGCACGGGGCACCGTCAATGTGGTCAACGCGGATCTTCATGATGTGCAGACGACTCTGACCACTATCTTCCGGTTCGAGTGACTCGGACTGCGGTTTCGCAAATCGCTGAGCCGCCCACGCAGTGAATTCTCCGCGGGGAACAAATACGCCGCCATATAATCTCTCGTCCTATTCAAACCCCAGTCGCGGGCGCTTGCAATATGAGTACGTCGAAGCGTACGCACGAGCCGACTCATATGAAGTCTAAGGGGAAGAAAAACATGGATTTCCTGTTCGTAGTTATTTGAGGAAGGAGCAGAAGCAGCAGCCGAGCTCGGCAGCAAGAACATTTCGAAGTAGAGCTACGAGTCATTCCGCCAATATCTATCTGCGCAGACGACTCGCACGGGGCGACCATCTGTTCGCTTCCAAGGGAAACACGCGAATGAATATGGCGCCGAGTCGAGTAGGATGGAATAGGCGCCAGCCAACGCTTGGAACCTACATCGAGAGCGGGTACTCATATACTACTCTCATACTTCTCTGGGAAGGAACTCTCTCCCGTCCGTCAGGTTTTCCAGTACGACCTTCCAGCCCCTTCTCTTTTATGGTCTCTCTGGCTCTCGCCCTAACTCCGTCGTTCTATCTCTTGCTTCGCTCTCATCCCATGCCATCTACTCGGGTCGACTCCGTGAATCTCTGGCGGCGAAGGTCAAGCGAGGAAGATGAAGATCGAGACATGACTGCGCAAGAGGGGTACGAGAGTGAAAGGGGCTGCGAACAGCTGGTTCACAAACTAATAAGTCGACGCGCCGACTGATGAGACGGCCCAGTCACGCTGGAAAGACAAGCGTATGTAGGCCCACCAGCCACGGAGAAATGTGAGACGGGTATCAGACTTCGGAGCAATCTGGCCGTGCCTGTGAGCACTTGATGATTGACAAGATGAAACATCCGCATTCATTGTCTATCAAGCAGAGCGAGGGAGTCGCAGCAACAACAACGTCAACGGAGTCGTCGACGAGACAGCTGATTCCCTCGCTGAGCGCGTAGCATGCGATTCTGACACAAATCCGGCTCTTGGCATCGTCTTCCATGCAATATGCCTTCGTCGACGAGGATCGGAACTGGAAGATCAGAAGAGTATGGCCGGCTGGGACCATGGAACGCTTCCAATAATTGTTCCAATCGTAAATTCGAGATCGAAGACCCTCATGGAAACTTTGTTTCATGACATCCAATGTCGGCATCTTCTAGACATAGCCACTGTATTTGACCGAGAACTGTTGCAACACAGTTTCGGAGAACATGGAAGCCCAAACAGTGGAGCGCGAGCGAATTCTATCATGCAAACAGAGGAAAAATATCGAGCCGTAGCGATCTGAAGATCCGCATCCGGAGTCCGTCCGGGGGTGAGTTTGTCTGGAGGCCGACATCGGAAACTCAGCAAACACTCGATGTTTACCTCAATCCCTCCTCCTCACCAATGTCTCGCAAACAGGTCGAGACCTTGAACGGTACCCGATCAGAGGACGCTGAGCGGACTCCGAATATCTCGAAACACTTTTTTTATTCTGCGGGCTCTCTAACAGACCCTCCGAGGGAGAACGGTTTTCGTTCACCGAGGGAATCGTGCCAATATTTTCTCTCCAAATCGTTTCACCACCGGTCCGATAGATTTTCATCACAATGATCATCTCATCCACGGCGGGGACTTCGAAGTTCCCTCTCTCCTTTGAACGACCTATTGCGCTCACGCAGGCGGTGAGTTCCCTCGATCGTCGACATAGTTTCGAAAAAGAGCTCTGGGAGAATTTAGAGAGATACAAACTATGGGACGATGAGACGAGGAAAGAATGGGAAGGCGTAACGCGAGCGGCGGAATGGGGGCTAGGATTTCGATTCGTTGCGGAAGACCCGGAGATCATCAGTATGGTCCGTCCGTTGAGGAGATGGTCGTGAGCGCGATTGGCCGGGCGAACCGTCATCCGGAATAGGACCACCAGTGGATGGAAAAAAGAGAAAAGCGGTGGGAGGAGAGGAGGCGAGCAAGATATCAACTGACGAAAAGTCGGCAGACAGAAATGATTCCAAAATAGAACTGACTGCAACGACGGTTCCGGACCCAGCCCGACCAGCACCGACCGAAGACGGAACTCGCACAGCGTTCATCGGGCTCATCGAAGGAGCAAAGGAGCCGCATCGGTCGATAAGCTCGCGGCGTTTTTGCCTTCCTTGGAAACCGAGGACAGAATGGAATCTAAAATTATTCGTTCGACGGCGGGGCAGAGTTTTTAGCGCAGGCTATTTCCAATGTTTGTGGATCCATCCGAATCTGTAGAACGAAACAGAAAGAAGAGGCTGCACAATAGGCGACTGATCCCTTGATGCCCGGATCATGTACCGTGACCTTCGGAAAAGATATTCGCGTCTCCGAGACAAAAAAAATTGGAGCAGCTTCAGCTATGAGCTAAGCAAATGTTTGCGGGGAGCTACGTCGCGTCGATTAGATAAAGGGGAGAATGATATCTGCGAGCGATGGTAGGACAGATCGTTCCGTAGTGAGGGAATCGCCTCGAGTTCTGCTTGGAGAAAATTCGATATCGTCAATATGCATTACTCCGTGGTGACTGAAGTGATTCACGAACTAAGGAGAACGGTGGAATGAGTTTCATCAGTGTCGGCATTCACATCGGGAGAGATCGTGGAATTCGCCGGCTTTCCTCCACGATGGGCGACCGTTATATCCCAGCGGGGGTCGCCACAAGTTTTCAATGGGCTTTTTCCTTTGAAGTTCTCGACCGACTGGAACGTTTGCCGATGCCTCATGAGAAGCACTTTAATAACTTCGGAGCTCAGCTGAGAACCGATGTGGACGCAAACGACAATCGACGAGGAATTCACCTTACGTATGATCGCGATTTTCCGATACATGGGGCTGGAGCGAGACATGGCACCGGGGCGATCATTTTACTCCGATGGACCCCCCTTCTTAGTTTAGCTCGGTTGAAGATTTCGCTGCATGGAGGGACGAAATTTCTTCGACCGGCTATCCCAGACATCTTAGAGACGTTTCCACGTCAAGAATCAGATCGATCCTGATACAGGAAGTTCTGAGTCTCTGGAACTGCCCTGGAGACCGATGTTGGCCAAGGAAGAGCAGTAAACAGTATGCACAGGACGAGTAGTTGCTGTCAAAGAATTGCGTCGCTTTGCATAACGTAGTGCGGCCTAGCGTGGCGTCTGACACGATCTGCGCATTGTGATTGTATGCGTCTCGAGCACTTGGGAGAAAACGGACTGAGTTTTCACAATTGCGCTTACCTTGCTCGCAACGCCCGTCACCCTCAATCCTCTTCTCTTCCGCCGTTTCCCTACGCCATACCGTGGGAGGCTTCACTATATTCCCCGCTCCCCGCCCTCGTGCATCTCCCAAAACCTCCCCTATCCGAGCGATTCACGAGGCGAGAGCATGATTGGTTGTGGGCTCGATGCCTCAAGAACTGGCGAGGTCTCTCATTAACACTTCCGCAGGGCTGCATGCTCCGGTCCCTTAACCCGATCTTTCAGAGGCTCCTTCTCCTTTGAACTCATCTTGTGGCTCCCATAATTCCAGTCTCTCACCATACTCTTACAAGCTGCCTGTAGATTGCAAGTTTCATTATTTCAGTCGAGACCAAACACAAATCGTACTAATCTCGATAGACGCCGACCCAGGAATAGAGGCCACACGTTGAATGTTCCAAATGGTTACGTCTCGGTCGTCATTGCAGTTCAGGCCGCTGTCGTTGTCGTGGCCGCGCAATCGAATCCCAAGAGCCCACGCAGACACAACCCACTCTACGGTCGGCCCACACAAGCTATTCAAATGAGATCATATCTCTATTCGCAAGATCCCATACGTTGTCACTTTGTCACTCTTGTTTCAGATTCTGCGGCTTTCCGGAACCTCGGAGTCCCGGAGAACCTCGTCGGACCGATGTTTCGGGCGCATTTACGTCCGATAGAGTTTCGAACGCGTCTTTGAACTACAACTTCCCCCCTAGCGGAAGAACTTCAACGATTTCCTTCTGTCCATGAATCCTCGGGGTGAGGAAAGAGAGAGATACCCTGAGGAATGCCACAGAACCAGGTCCGCGCTGATAACGCCTAATGAGGAATCAAAGATAGTACTAGAGAACTGACCTTCGAATGCTGTGGCGTCGATCTGCACTTTCCTCTTCAGAGTCGAACTGTCGACTGCGGTTGCGGCTCGCATCTGTTGTTCCTGGAATAAGAACACGGGGACGTTAGTTCCGAGTCTGGCCATCGGATCCTGGAACTCGAGCGAAAAGAGACTTTTCCGGAGTCTGGTTTCCGAGCTCGTCGTGAAATTCTATTCGGAATAGATCCGGCGATATCAGAGACAGCCTCCCGTAATCCACGAGAGCCCGCGGCCTCTCGGCAAATCTAAAGAGGTAACTCGAAGCATATAAGTCGAGCTGTACTCGCTGCGACTTCCGTCACATCCCTTTGTTGTTGATTTGCATTTTTCTTGCTCGCCGAGGAGGAGATTCCCCAGATCCACCTCGCGCGCCTGCGGAAGGAATATTCGCGACGGGCGGATATTGTCGTTTGGGCATTGTTAACAACCACTCGAGCGTGCTACAGGAGCTTCTCGTAAGGCTTCGTAATCCTTGCGTCCGCTCCCGTCGTTGTTGTTGCTGTCATTGCGCTTTCAAGTCGTTTCCCTCATGCGCGACTCCATCCCCCAGGCCAGCGTTCTCGGCCTGTAACAGCGAACGATCCGAGCCTCTTTTTTAATCCTCACAGCTTCTGGCCCCAGGCCTCCATAGATCCATCTCCCCACAGTAGCGGCAGCAGCACCAGCGGCAAACGAAGCAGAATCGTGAATTAAGCCCAGACTGAAAATTGAATTGGGTCGATTCGAGATTTGACGACGAATGCCTCTCTCGGGAACTCCGAAGCTTCATCAGCCGAGTAGGCAGCCCAGAGAAGAGGGGTGGCGGGGAATACGAGAACACACGTCGTCGTAATAAGGGAAATGTTGACGGGGCGAAGGGGCTCCAACTCGGGGTATCGCACGGGGCCCGGGCTTCGAGCGGCTCTGGTTCGGCTGAGAGCTCCGGACGTACCCAAGCCCCAGATTAGCTAGTGTTCGAATGCGATTTAAACTTTCCACGAGGAAGCAATTGGCGCCGCAGAGCTTTTAGACTTCTGTTATTCCACCGGTCAAGGACCTTTCTGTCGTCCCGAAGAGTGGGTGAGCGACCTGATGGGTGAGCTCGAGCAGTAAACTCGAATCAGGTGTAGGGCGCTCTACGCTCGTTTGTCGAGTAATATTTTCCGAAGTCGCGCTGCCCCAACACTGATGATGAGCGCGTCTTTCGATGACGGCCGAATGGGTATTATCGTACATTCCTCACCGACTCACAAGGTCGCGGTCGGTGTCTTCCTTATATTCACACGTTGGAGGCTCTTTGCGTCGACTGTTGACCCAAGAGCCTCCTTCTTGAGTCGCGGCTCGGTTCTGTTAGCTGCTTGGGCTCTCAGCAGGAACAAGTCGATCGGAAAGAATGGTCGGGTAGGATAGCCGAGCGGAGGATGGCACGGAGTCTCTGCTGAACGAGCAATTGGAGACGCATCAATAATTGCATTCTTATTGTGGCTGCCAGGCTGTGAGGTCCACTGGAGCTTTTGGTCGCAGCGAGCTTGTGAGCTCTCCATTGAGCGATTCGGAAAACCAGAAGGTCGTGGCGAGTAGGGGAGTGACAGTCATCAGAGAGGGAAAATCGCAAGTGAAACTTCGAATATCGAGCGGTAGCGATAAATATCCTCGTACTCCGATAGGGCGGCTCTTAATATCGATGGAAATGCGAGATATCTAGATACTGAGACTCGGCCGAATCCCGTCCGGAGAGAAGTCAGCGCTTGTGGAGAAACTGCGTGTGGAGGAACTGCGTGTCAGTCAGGCGGAAGCGTAATGGTTTCAAGTTTCCGTCGAAGAAACCACCATCACTGGAAAACACAGAACATGAGGCCTTTGTCAAGGAAATCGCTCTAAATTGAGGAGAATAATAACGAACGAGAATGGGAAGACACGCTTCGACTGACCACGCGCACAGACATCACGATGAATGTCAGCCGAGGGAAGAACTTTGCATAATGATTCCGTCTCTTTCTACAGCGCGGAGCATGCACTGGAATCCGTCTCGATTAGACCCTTGCGAAATAATTACGGCTCAATCGATTGCGCATCGTCTCGCTGATGCAAACGTTCATCAAGGATCATGTTTTCCATGGAGGGATATGGAGAGGAGTCTTGATTCTCCCGATGGATACATGAATAACAATCATTCGAGGCGCAGCTTGCAGCTCAAAAGCTCGATAGACTAGCCGACTCGCCCCGTAAACGTGGGATGAGCCGCCGCTGCTGCTGCTGCTGTTCCCTGGCCATCGCAGCGGAACCCTTGCGCGAGCCGGAACAAGTTCCTCTCCGCGTTCGTCGTTGCTTGTACGCTCGTTGGTTGCTCGTTCGGTCGCTCGGTTGGTTCGACTGGTGGACTCGATGTAAGGCCAGCAAGCTGACTGACGGCTTGGTTGTGTTCTAATGATGAAGGCCCGTTTTCTGCACGCCAATCAAGAATAATGATCAGCGTACATCGTCATATTGGCCTCGGCGGCAACGACTTCGGCCTCCATGGGCACTCGGGCAGCAGCGAGAAGAAGCGCCCCAAACAGCCATTGGAAAGGGTTTCGAGGGGCGGGCCTTATTCGGGGTACTGCAACGTTTGCGAGTCGAGAGTATTGGGAACGTGACCTCCACGCTATCGAAATCGCCATAGCTAATTAGAGAGGAGCAGCGTCGTCCTTGAGCGTCGACCCTGTTTTTAATCGTAATATTTTCCGACCGCGCGTAATTTCCAGCTGCTCGTAAAGGATCCCGCGGCGAATCGATGCCTCAAACTCAGGACGTCAGGAGAGGAATAGGAGGGCAAACGAATGGCATGTTCAAGTTTGCGCAAGGAAGGGACGCGGTAGAGATCGTTCTGCCGCAGTCCGGAGACGCTTCGTGGCCGTGAATAATAGAGTGAGCTATCGTATTTGTTTGCCCTTGTCCAGTAGACGTGACCCCGGGCTCCGTCGTTCCTCGGTGGCATCTTAATAGCCGCGACAGTTAATTCAATGCCCACCACTACCTCTACTTCTACCACTGCCGCCGGCCACTGGATGTCGTTCCACCTACAGGTCGGGAAAACGAGAGTCTTGTCGCGAAGGTCGGCTGGAGGAAAAGGATAGTTCGACGGAGGAGCAGGGGAAGGGGGAGGGGTGGACGACGCGCCGTCGACCGAGATCGGAGTCGAGCTGGGAAGGAGCAGAATGAGGAGCAGGGGTCAGAACGCACGTCGTCGCCTTTATCTTTGTCGTCGACCCCTGCGAACGTGTTCGGAAACACTTCCCATGCAACACGTGTGGTAAACGGAGGGAGTGTCCTGGGAATTCGCTCGGTCCGACGATGTCGATACCCACGAGCGATTTCGCTTGAGGACAGATGCCTTCCAACGACATATGCGGGACTTCGCAGGGAATGAGAACACATCAGAAGTGTTTCTGGTATGTATACGGACAATCTCGTATCTGGCGGCATTGTGACGACGACCCGGAGCCGTCGCAGCTTCGAGCGGAGTACGTTCTATGAACTCCGCGTATTGTTTACGTGCAGAGGATAGGTGGAGGGAAGGTGGGTCGAGGAGACCAACTGGGCCAGCGAGCAGGCGAGCGGAAGGTCGGTATTTGTTAAATGACGATGCGTCCTGCTCGAAGAGCCACACTTGACTGACTGTTTATTGTTAACGTCGACAGACGATGTCGCAAGTTATGATTGAGATCACAAGTCTTATCATCTCCTTTCCTTTGGGTTGATTAATATAAGTTTTTTTGCTTATGGTATCTTTTATCTCCGCCGGTAAGGTTTGCGCTGGATACACCTTTCTCTCTATGCAAATTTTTGTGGTTTCTTAATTTTATCCCTCTGTCTTAGTTTCCTCGGACTTATTGGTGTTGGTTCCTTCATCCGCTCGTTTGTTTCCTCCGCGCTGTCATAGTCGCTAGGTTCTGAGTCCTCTTCAGCACTACCGTTTTTCAGCCATTCCGGGAGGGAAGCAAACCATGATGCTTCCCTCCGTGTACCGTTTGGCTGGCTCGTGATTTCTTTCTTCTCGTGATTTGCCGCTTGTTGAAGTGCCCCTTCCCGCAGAAACCTTCTGTTCCTTATGAGGCGGCGACCTTCCACCTCGACTTCGTAGCGTCTCCTTGCGAGCGATTTAGTCACTCGTGCTTCTTTCCAGCGGCTAGTTCCGATTTTCATCGGTTTCAGTCTGACTACGTCATCGACACGCAAGGGTGGTAGTTCTCGGGCGCCCCTGTCGTGGGCTCGCGTGAAGTTGTCGATCTGTGCTCTTCTCGCTTCCATCACTATCCGCTGACACGGAACCGCTGGCTTCAGGCTGTTTTTGGGAGCGGGTATCCACGTTCTCACTTTCCGCGACAAGAACATCTGTGCGGGGGTGTATCCTCCCAGTTTTCTCTGTGGCGTGTCATTATATGATATAAGTCCTTTTCGATAGCTCTGCTGTGCGGTTCTGCATCTCCGTATCATTCTCTTGACTATTCCGACCGCTGCCTCTGCTTTTCCATTCGATGCGTGATTGTGGGGCGATGTCAAAACCAATTTGACTGACCATTCCTTCACGAACGCTTCAAACTCTTGGCTTCTGAACAAGGGGTCTTGATCCGTAACTAGTAGATCGCAACTCCCCTGCTCCGACCAAATTTTCTCTACCACCGTTTTGATAGATTTCGTCGTAGGGTTCGCTGGTAATTCCTCCACGATTATAAAGTTGGAAAAGTAGCAAACCAAGATCAGGAACTTTTTTTCTTCCAACTGCGCGATGTCCATGCCGACTTTTTGCCATGGCCGGACAGGGATCTCGTGGGGGATCAATGGTTCTTTCCTTTGTTCCGGCGGAAATTCCAAGCATCCTTTGCATTGGGTGCGGTGATTTTCTATGTCGTGTTTCATCCTTGGCCAGAAAACACACGATTTGGCTCTTTCCGCTGCCCTTTCCGGTGACATGTGAGCGAAGCAGACCTTTTCGATGAAACCTTTTCGCAGCGACTTTGGAACAACCAATGCATCTCCTTTGAGAATCAATTTGTCCTCGATCGTCAGCGTACTTCTGAACGGGAAGAACTCCGTCACCACCGGCGACAAAGTTTTCGCCCCCTCGGGCCAGCCCTTTTGAATCCTTTCTCGGAGCTGTTGGTATTCCCCGTCTTTCTCCGCGGCGTCCCTGATGTCCTGTATGGTGCTGTCTTGCATCGGGAGAGTCCTCACCACTTGAACGATTCCTTCACCTCCCCCGTGCTCTTCCATTGGACATCGTGACAGCGCGTCCGCGTATTTCATTTCTCTTCCTGGACGGAATAGTATCGTAGCGTTGTATCTTTGCATCGTCATGAACATCCGCTGGAGTCTAAGCGGCACTTCGTCGAGCGGCTTTCGTACTATGTTTATCAGGGGCCTGTGATCCGTATAAACCGTGACTTTCTTTGGGTAGACGAAGTAGTGGAATCTTTTGAGTGCGAAAACGATGGCCAGGAGTTCCATTTCTATCTGTGCATATCTGGTTTCCGTCGTTGTCATGGTCCTACTCGCGAAGTAGACCGGGCGGCCATTCTGTAGCAGCGCCGCTCCCAGTCCATTCTGCGAGGCATCACATTCGATTTCGACCGGCTGGTCCGCGTCGAAGAAAGCCAGAATTGGGCTTCGACTGACCAGCTTCGTGACCTTCGTGAATGCCGTCTCTTGCTCCGTGCCCCACTTCCATGTCACGCCCTTCTTGTTGAGTTCCCTTAGTGGCGACACTTCTTCGGAGAGACTCGGTATGAATCTAGCCACATGGGACAACATTCCCAGGAAGCTCTTCAGACCCGTCTGATCTATCGGTGGCCTCATTTCGGCTATCTGTTTCTGTTTCTCAGGGTCGATCTGTATACCATTTTTCGACAGAACGAACCCGAAAAACCTCGTGTTCGGTGCCCTTAGCGTGACTTTGTCTGCGTTGAGCTTTATCCCTGTTGTCTGGCACCTCTGGAGGAAACGGCGAAGGTTCTCGTCGTGATGTCTCCTTGCCTCCAGTTCCGATGATCCGCCGCCGTAAACCAGTACGTCGTCCGCGAGGACCAATATCCCGGGAAGGTTTTCTAACGTCTGCTTGAGCCTCTTGAAGAAAATCTCCGATGACACGTTCAGACCGAAAGGCAAACGCCTAAATCGATATCGTCCAAACGGCGTCTGGAACGTCGTGAGATAACTACTTTCTTCGTCGAGAACACAATGCCAAAAACCGTCAGCCAGGTCGAATTTTGAGAAATACCTTGCCTGACTCAGTTCGGGTATTATCTCATCGAAGGTCGGCGTGTGATAGATCTCTCTGATCAGACAGTCGTTTAGTTGTCGTGGGTCTAGACATATCCGGAGCTCCCCCGACTTTTTGAGCTGAATCGACAGTCGATTCACCCATTCCGTTGGTGTTTCCACTCGAGTCACCACCCCTCTGTTCTCGAGTTCTCTTAGTTTCGATTTTAATTGTGTCTTCAGTCTTGGCGATGTGCGACAAGATACGTTGGCCACTGGTTTTGAATTTTCCTTGAGGTGTAGTTTGACTGTTCCGTTAAATTCACCCAATCCGCCGTCGAACACCGCGTGGAACTGTTGTTTCATGCTCTCGACGTCTTCGATTTGGTCTCCCAGCTCTTCCGTTTCTATTTTCGACACCCTCTCGTAGTCGAACCGTATCAATCCCATCTTTTCTGCTGTCGTCCTTCCGATGATCGGCGTGAGCTTTTCCGCCACCACAACACCTGGGAGGGTTCCTGTATCTCTCGTTTTGCTGTTTATCACTGAGATGTCACAGGTGCCTATGGTGCTCATCTTCCGACCTCCGTACGTTCGTAATGTTGGTTTCTTGGTTCTATCGATCTTTGCCCTCGACACGATTTCTGCTGGAAAGACGTTGCACGATGCTCCGGAGTCGACGAGAAATTTCACTTCTCTCGTCGAGTTGTCTGGTTGCTTTACTTTGAACTTGGCATACACAAGCGGTTTCATCGATTTTTCTTCTGCCGCTGTGAAGACCACCTGAATGTCCTCCTCCTCTTCTTCCAGAACGTCGACCGTTGCTTTTCCTTGTTTCTTGAGGCACGCTTGCGCAAAATGGTTCATTCTTCCACAATAGTTGCACCTTCGTCCTATTGCGGGACAGTTGTTCGCGCCTGGTGCATGCGAGAATGCACATTGTCCGCATTTTCGAACGTTTGTCGGGCCACCTATTTGTTTACGTCTGGGGCCCTCTCTTGTGTATCTCTGCGTTCGGATCGCGCACGCGTCCATCTTTTCGACGCTGCCGTATGGTGTCGGCTTCTCCCCGGGCCCAGCGTTGCCATTCTCGAAGCTGCCTAGCTGTTTTCTAGAAGCTTCCATCGACGAACAGATCGCTATGGTCTTCTGAAGGTCGAGCTGCGTAATCTTCAGCAGCTCTCTGCGGGTTTCCGAGCTATTCACTCCCACAATGATCTGATCGCGAATCATCCGCTCTTCTTGATCACCGAAGTTGCATGTTTTGACCAGGAGTCGTAAATCTGTGAGCCACTTGGCGAACCCCTCCGATTCTCGCTGGATTCGCTGTCGGAACTGATGCGCGAGGAAATGCTCGGATTCATTCTGTTTGAAGTTCGCCTCTAGTTTGGTCAGTGCGCTCGCGAACGTAGCCTCGTTTGGGTCTTTGAAGAGCGTGTTGAACTCGTCTAGCACGATGTCTCCGCCGCTGGCCAAAAGGATGGCTACCTTCACCTTATCCGTCTCTGCTTCTTTCTTGGATGCCGTCAGAAATATTTCGAGCTGCTGTCTGAATCTCTTCCAGTTGATCCATGATCGTTCTTTCATTCCAATTTTTTCGGGAATCTTATCCATTCTTGACGCGGGTTTTCGTTTCACTTGTTCACTGCTGCCACCATGTTAAATGACGATGCGTCCTGCTCGAAGAGCCACACTTGACTGACTGTTTATTGTTAACGTCGACAGACGATGTCGCAAGTTATGATTGAGATCACAAGTCTTATCAGTATTAGAGAAAGGACTTCTCCTTGGCTTCCATTAGGCTGTTTGCTTGCTGTGCGTATTATGGTAATCACCATTACAAGTTCGCTACTGGCTTGCCCAAGTCGCTCTCCGCGTGGCCGCTCATCCGTTCTCTCAGCCGACGGATCGTTGGTCTGCGAGCTATCCTTGGCGGCAAGCTGCCGTTCATCCATTGAAAGTGGATCTTGTTCGGTGCTCCTCATGGTGCCGCTGTTTCGCGCCTCTTCTCTTTCTTCATGCTCCTGGCTCCTCGTTAGCTCAGTCTCTCCTGCGCCGCGCCGCCGCTGCTGCTGCTGCCTGCCGTCGCACCCCTCAACCCCATCTGGTCGAGAGTAATTGATTTCGGGATCATTGGCGACACTCCTCGGCCCTGGGAGTAATTATTCTAGCTCTCCTCTTGACGCCTTCGATGCCTCGGCCGGACGTCTCCATATCGTCCCGACACAAATATATGTACGTACAAACAAAGACGGACGGAAGAGCGAATTAGTCAGCAAACACATTCTGATCGTTCGGTAAATAAGCACCCGTTCTTCTATGACGAGCGCCGTTGGTTGATAAGATTTCGAGGGAGCTCCTCCGGTGAAGGTCCACAACGGAACGTGGGGCTTCCGGAATGGAGTTCGAGAAGGGGAGCGGTCCCCTGATGAGATCTTGGATGGATCCCAGATCGATGATCCGGCGGCGGTGACCACGATTCATAGTCTGAATTGGATCGCGGATATGTCCTCGCAAGACTCATACAAATGAAGTTTCGACATGACGGAACGGTGAAAATCCCCGAAAAAATTGGGGAAGAATTCCATGGCGCCTGTGCTTCAGGGAGAAATATCATCTCGATTCGGTGAGACCAAATCATGGGTTCTGGAGCCGGGGAGAGATACCGGATCACGAACTTCAATGAGGAACAGCATCAACAACGTAAGAAACAAGCGCCTACGGCTCCTAAAACTATTATTGTTGATGTAAACGCTTTGTTGCCATTGCCGTCACTTTTATTAGCGTATTATTGTTGATGTAAACGCTTTGTTGCCATTGCCGTCACTTTTATTAGCGTATTATTGTTGATGTTGCTTCTGCTGCTACTGCAGCTGCACTTGTTGTTCTTGACGTTGAAATGATGCTTTAATATTCATGAGAAGCTCCCTCGGTAAAAGGGTTAACGGCAGAATTCGTTCACCGCCATGCAGGTATTAGCGGAGCTGCCTCAGGGCCTTACGAGCTCTTTGACTCAGTAGCCCTCGCCGGAGCGGGAGGAGGAAGAAAGAACGAATGAATGAATGAATTACTTTCTTCATGAATCGCCGACTCAATTACTCGTACGTTTTCTCGCTTATACATATAGTCTCCAGCACGCGTCTGCACCAACAGGAGTTTTCTCTGGCTGACTGAGTGAGTGAGTGACGGGTGGCTCTAAGCTCCACCGTCATGAGACGTGGAGCGCAAAACTGAAAGTGTGACATCGGACAACTCACCTTCAGTTTGCAGGGATCCTCGTAAGTGTGCCGGTCGTTGTTGGGATAGAAGCCTCTGGTTGTGGTGGAGTAACTTTCGGGATAGTAGAAAGCCTGACCCAGACCCCCGTTGCGGCTGCACGTCGACGTTTTGCAGGCCATGTTAGGATAAGTCTTCAGCGTCATCGAGTTGCCCGTGTCGGTCTGGTTGTCTGTAAGAGGAGAATCGTTTCGAAAAAAAAACCAATGTAGAAACCATGTTTTATGCACCCATCAATCCTCAGGGCTCGGACAGTACAGAGTCCGCCAACTCTGGGCGACCCTCCCAACGTGTCAGGAATAGGCGTTTCTCCAGCACATAATGCGGTTGTGGTCGCTCGCGACGTGATAGAACGCGAATGACAAGCGGGCACTCGAAAAAGCTTCTCAGGCAGGTCTGCGGATAGCCGCAGTTCTGTCTGTGGGTTTTGCCATAACGAAGAGCCTCAGAGGGGTTCAGCTGATTGCTCTTAGCAACACTCGGCGGGAGTACTTACACAGCTCTTGTAGACGTTCGCGTTTCCTCGTCCACAGAACCAGCACCGAAATCACTGCAATGATGACCACAATAGCCACAATCACACACATCATCGGCACCAGCCAGGCTTGGTTCTGGAAAGAGAAGATAAGCCCTCAGATATTTCCCTCACAGTAGTACCCAGGAATCCTGGAGCTGGAGGATCTCTTCGCGACGAACGAGAGGAAACTGCTCAGTTTTCCCTCCGAACGAAGCTCCAGTCCTAATTTTTCCACTCCGACCTCCATTGTGAGCGGGACTCAAACCGATCAAGCAATTTCGCGAAACTCCTCCGGGGAACCGGGGAGTGTTGTGTAAGTCCCACCGCAGGGTTCGGTGTGAAAGGGGTGGATTCCGATTCTGTTTAATAACGCAATTATAAGCTCACGGCAATCGAGGTGCTCGCTCTCCCTGGAGAGTTATTGCAGGGTAAGCGGCAGGTCGCTTGGTGGCAATGAGGGTGAAGAAGATCGCCGGGGGCGGTGGCATGAGAGCCAGGTAACGCCACCAGGGAACCCTTTGCTTTTTACGTCCGACCTCTTTCATCGATAATGGCCGTCATAATTGCGAAGGGAGGCTCCAGAGCTCGCGCTCTACGAGCACTCGGACAACGGGAACGGATTCATGAATGCCCGTATAGATTGGTCAGGGCGACGGATGAATTGATCGATGAGGATGAACGGGAGGGAGGGAGAGGGACTCTGCACGGGGTAGGGGGGAAGCTCCCTCGAGACCGTCTCTGGACGGGGAGCATTTTCGATCCTTACGTTATCCAGCCAGGCAGGATGGCGCCGACTTTTGGGAGCACGGGAAAAGCGTGGGCTAGACGGGCCGGGTCAAGCCCGCAAAGAGATCTGGCTGTCGATCGTCGATTCGGCCTCGATTAGAGAGTTTTGAGAAGCATCTACCGGAACCCGTTTCCTAATCCGTGAGACGAGCAGAACTTCAGAATTTTTCCCCGGGATGATTCCCCAAGAAACTACCCGGAATTTAATCACATAGCGAGAAGAACACGCTGGAGATATTATTCTACGCTGTAGAGCACGAGGAAAATAAAATGCTCGAGTCCGGGCTTTTAGAGCGGCTCAACGAGGACTCAGCCCACGATGCATTCCCTCGGAGCTTGTTTTAGCTCTTTTCTTCTCGAGCTGCCGGGCTTAGGAGCATGACTCAGAGCGTCGCGCCCACGCGGACTGAAACGCGGAGGGATAACGAGCGAAACGAGCTCAAGTGAGGGATCCCGCTACCGTCCTGTGAACTTCCGTGTGAAACCTGCTGCTATGAAAGCCCTCGTCTGGACTTGACATCTCCTTTCGTTGCGAAGACGAGGCTCGTCCTCCAGCCCTCTAACCCACCTGCCAATTCACTCGCAATAGATAGCTCCCTGAAGAGCGATGGCTGAGCATCACGGAGTTTCATACTCGAAGATCTCGTCGAGTGATTTCACCCCTTACGGTTTTTGTGGTGGTCTAGACGGCTCGAAAGTGTGGGGAGCGATAGTCATAGTCTCGAGGAGCCCCTCAAGTGTCCTCATCGATCTAGTTGCTGCCGTGGTGGAATTACCACGAATCCCCTCCTCGTAGCGAGCTCCTCATTTTTTCTGAATAAGATTTTTCCGCTCCGTCACCCCCCGAACTCAAGAGACCGCGAGTCCGTGATTCAAACGACGCGACGTCGACCGTCTGTTCTGAGCAGGGGTCGCTTGCTCCCTTGGACGGTCGGGGCTCGGATCAAATACAAAGAAACATCCCAAGCCGATGGATGGCTGGACTGACGGACAGGCTGAGGAACTGGTTCGAGCCGAGCAGGGAGCGGGTCGCATTCGAGAGGGTGACTGGTCGACCGGTCGTCCGGCGGCCTCGTATTCGTCTGCTGGTCTCTTCACTTACGCGCAACTTGAATGTAATGGCCTCTAGCTACTGCGTGTGCTACCCTCCGTCTTGTTTCGTCTCCGTCTTGTTAGTTCCATGCGCAGAGCTCCGGGCCCTTCAGATCCCTCCGACAGGGTAAATAATAGCCGGCTTCATCTTCTTCCTCTTCTTGTTCCATCCCCACGGAATTCATTCATATTTGACCATGCGCTGTCGACAACGAACCTCCCAATTCCTCGAAGTTCTCTGTCTTGACCTCGCTTCCAGCTCCGCTCTTTTCCTTCCCCTTCTCTTCCCGCTTAACAAACCGTGCATTTCACATCGCACGACTCGCGTTCTGATTTCACCGTCGTATCACTTATGAATACATACGGATCGGGCGACTCCTCTTGTTTGTCAGAACAGTTCCCGACCGCTCAGTCGCTCGACTGGGCATCCTTCCGGCGAGAACATTCAAGTTTTTTCCCCGCGCTATCCCCCAACCCTCCTTCCCCCTTCCCCCTCGCTCCGAGCTGCGGTGGAGTCACGCCGCTAGTCCTTCAACGGTGTGCCGCCACCGCCGGACGCTTTCCCGGGCCCCTCGTCAGCGCGTCCGTACCCCAAGCAGCCGGCCACAGGAGGAACGACATGGTTTTCGCTCGCTGGCAGAGGGCGCAGAAGTGAATGAAATGGGACAAGGACGTGTTTTGGGGAACATATTTCATGCCGAAATATGCAGAAAGCTTGGCCTTTGTGTAGCGGAGAGATTGCCTCTGGTGGTCGTCGCAGCCGTCTCCGTTGTTGCCCTTACCGTCACGGCCCTTGCGTGTGCTTCCAGGGGCCTCGGAAACCGTGGGGGGGAGAGGGGGGTTGAAGTGTGGAGAAGAATAAACGGGCGAGGGGGTGGGGGCACGCAGTGGAGCCCTACCGAGCAGAAAAGGGACGAAAATTCTAGTGAGGAAGTAAATCCTCGCCGAGAGATGAAATTCGAGAGAGATGCACCGTGGTCAAGACGTCAAGACGGGGTTGCGGACTTCCGGCAATCGAGCGGGCGAAGGTTCGATCTAAGAGATACCCTCCAAATGAGACCAAACCCGAAAAATTTTGCTCGTCCTCGTCGTCAGAATCTGTCTCAAGCCATGCTGAGCTGCATCGGCTAGAGAGCAGTAGCAGCCTTGCCAAGGGCGATCTCAGTGAGCGTCTTGGGAAGAGGGGGAAAGGGGCAGGGAGCGACTGAAGATACAATCTGAAGGCAATGCGGCGAGACAAAGCAAGTGGGAGCTGTAATTCAGGCGGAGGGATTAGGCAGAGCAGGAAGACGAGCGGAAAATGGAAACAATGACACCGGGAATGACTCTTCCCCCCATGGGTGTGAATTCAAGGCTAGCCGCATTCAGAACAAGCGCTTTTGAATAACGAAGAAAAGTTTCCATGAAACGGCTTGTCATACAATGCGGCGAACAACGTGGCCTTCCGCTTGTTATCCCTTCTCTCCTTCCACCGTGCTCTCCTGGACGGTATTACGCGTAGCTTTCTTCTTTCAGTTCACCGTCTGTCCGTGCGTCCATCCGTTCGCTTCTTCGCTCCAAAGTCATAAGTGTACGCGCCCCGGGTCGAAAACTCGGCGACAACGTCGCTCGCTAATCCGTGACAGGAGGAAACTCACCTGCATGCCTTGCAGCGGTCCTCGTGGAGTTTCCTTAATCCTTTCGGGAGGAGGTGGCAATCTACGACCGTCTGGAGTAAGCGTGCCTACGAGGTCGGAGGCGTCCGAATGACCGGCTTCGGCGTATCCCGACACGGACATATCGTACCAGGAAGCCGGTGCCAAATCCGTGATGTAAACCACCTGAAAGAAAATTTTCCATCCGTCATGGCGTGAATGGTCTCTGTCGAAGTACTCCCAATCTCAGACTCTCCCTTCCACAGACCGACGGGGGATGAGCAGCGAGGAGCAGCGCAGACGTGGTCGACTTCGTCTTTTCGAGCTCAAGCCCCTTCTGCTCTACTCAGGGTCTACTTCTTTTCTCCGCTTGTTCTCATTAGGTCTGTTGCCACCGCAGTGAACTACGTCCCCACTTAAAGGGAGAAGCTTTCGCCGCACTTTGAAGTCTATGTGAGCTAGCGAAATTCCCCAAATCCACTCGGAAATGACTCTCGACCCAGTCGGAGCGGAGAGAGACTGCGAACGAACATCGCATCGCATACCAACCAGGCTTTCACCTGCTTCTCGAGAGTTGGCTTTGCACATCTTTGCGCACTTGCGGCGCTTACGTGGCTCCTAATAACACACTACTTTCCCTTCTTCCCTTGCGAGCGTCGCACTCTCAAAACAGCAATATTCCCCGAGTTTACGATGAGCTGCCTCCGGCTCTGGGGAGATCTACCTACGGTTTGCAACAAGCCGCTGGTGTCGATCACGGACGTCACTCCGATCATCTTCTGATGTCCCATCTCATCGCGAGGAAAAAATCTCTCCCAGTCCCACCACTGACAAGCTCTCAGGGAATGAGAGGATAACAAGAGTCTCGCTTATATCGGAATAATCCGCGATCGAATAACCGAATGATGCTTACCTGCTGTTCCGGAGGAATGTGGTTCGAGTAGACAATCCAGTCGCCGATGAAGTCTCTCGGTTTGTAGCGTACGACGAAGAATAATATCGGGCAGCCCGCCTCTCGCCATTTTGTCAGCGAGATGCGCAACGTTGTCTGGTTCGTATCCACCATGTCGGCCATCGGGGGCGCGATTGGGGCTGAAGTCGGGCAGCGGCGATAGGGTTCGGAAGAGATCGTTGTTTGGTCGACGATGCCGAAGAGAATGCGGATAGAGGGAACGACAACCCGTTAGCTAGATTGCTCAAGCTTTGCATCGTAGAACACGGACATGTGCCTGCCCCTCGGACCCTTCTCCCCTGCTAAGATCCGTAACAAGAAACATTTTGACTCGACTCCGTTCGGACTAACCCTTGTCTCGACATACAAGACAACGACAACAACAACAACAACAACGACGACGGCGTCTGGTTCGCGTTCTATTTGTCCCTCTCTCCCTGCTGGCTAAACGCTGTTGTTGTCGTCGTCGTCTTAGTTGACTGTTCTACATACATGACGGGCCGAGAATCTACTGCGAGTCCTGCGGCGTCTTTCGATACATACAGGACCACTCGATAGAGCGAAAAACCTTCAATGTATTCGAACTATCTCAGATCCCTCTAAGCCCATCCTGCCGCCGGCCGCCGTCGCTGCTTGTTCGACTCGGGAACGATCCGTCAAATTTTCTTTCGGGATACGAAAGCGACGCGGTTGTGTCGCTTGATCGCTTTGAAGAACACATATGCGGTAACATCGAGGAAAAGACAAACATATGGAGAGAGAGATGGAGGAGTTTCGCTTTCGGGGGCGGGGGACACAGTAGGCAGTGAAAATTCACGGCACGATGACCTACGTAGCACTTGCCGTCGGGGATGGAGCTGGGGCTCATTGAGGCTCATTTTGAGCTCCACTGCTCTTCAGAGCTTGAAACGACCAGACATTCACGGAAGCGGTGGGTCGAATCGCCAGAAGACGCCACGCGCAGGAATCGATGCGTTGCAAGCGCAAGAGACTTAACGCAATGCTCGCCGGCGTGGCGCATTCTGCTCGCAATTGAGCACGAATTCGATCTCCGAATAACGGTCAAGCTCGGTGGTCGTCGCAGTGTGGCAACAGCTGCGACCGGCGAAGTGAGAAAATTTTGGCAAGAGACCAGCTGCTTTTCCGGGGCTTTTCGATTGCCCTCCGAATAAAACGGGATCAACGACAAAGCCGTGCCATTTGCATGCGTCCGGAGCTGGACGGAACGGAACTGACGGGGAGAAACTCATAAAAGCGGCCATCAAAAATCTCTCGATTAGTTTTTACGCTTGTGAGAATATCTTTTCTCCTATTCTCGTTGGCGTGTCCTGCGACAGTCGTCTGAAGCCTAAGGGACTCGACATCGAGATTCGTTGATTTCGCACGTTGTCCAGAACCGTGCTTCAGGAAGAAGAGGAGGCCGGACGGGGAAACCAGGCGACAATCTCGACCCTCAGCGCTGTTTGGCGCCCAAAGACGAGCGTTGGCATAGCGTCGAAGGGGAATAGCATGCTGTGAACACGTCGGTCCCGTGCTGCCTCCAGTACTCCATCAATTTCCGCAGATTTATCCGCCGAGTCGTTCAAGCATGGATTTTGTTCTCGCTCTGTCAGAAAAGTCTCGGCACCGACGACTCGACGCTCAGTCAGCGGTCCGTCACAGGAGCGGTACTCGGCAATGCTCCATATCTACGGCTAGTTGGCCGGGAGGCGGCTGTGCGAACATACGTTTTCCATTAGTCGAGGCTTCGAGGAACTCTCCCGGCTCGCTGTGACCGACGTCATTGTAAGCCGTCAGGTAAATCGTGTACGTGGTACCACATTGTAGTCCTGTGAGCATCTTCGAGCTGAGCTGACGGCTTAGACGCTCCTCGATGAATCCGCCGTTGCCGTGCTTGTAGTGCAGGATGTAACCTTGGACGATATCGCCCTTCCGAGGTTCCCACGACACGTGCAGTGACGAAGCGGTTGATGAAATCAGTTTGAGCCGAGGCGATTCCGGCGGATCTGAAAAATATGAATTCGGGGAATTAGGAAACCCTTGCGCTCGCCTAACGGCTATTGGAGTCCGACTCGGTCAGGGGAATCGATTCCCTTTGTCGAATCCCAAGGCGGGGCGCAATTAGAGCGTCCGAGCATCGGAGAGGGACGAACAGTGGTTTCCAGGAGATAAAGCAAAAGGAAGAGAGACATCGTTCCCGTCAGGAGGACTCCTTTAGGAACTTGTCAATCCTGGCTAGCTTCCACTCGGAACTAAACCGGAGAGGTATCTTCACGCAGCGTTAAGTCCGCCGCTCTATCTTCTGACAAATGGCGCTGTATTCAAGTGTTTGAAAGAGTTTCCGCCTAAAGAAGTGTATTAAATCTTGAGAGAAATTTCCGTGCGCGAACAGCGTGACGTGTCTTGCAGCTCTCCACAAAGGATACCTGACCTTGCCCGTGGATTCTTGTTCGGTCCTTTATTCTCCGCCTCTGTCTATCTAGTGCATGGGTGCGCGCCGGAAAAGGGGCTGCGGGGAGACTCTAGGAAGAAGGGCAGCAGAAGCAGAACCAGCACGGGATAGGGACGAACGAGGACGTTCGAGAGAGCACGAGAGTGTGTTAAACGCTCCGCGAGATAAGGCTTTCTTCAACGCGACCTAGCCTCTCTTTGAGTCTTCACGTCTTTGCAGCAGCTCTGGAGAGCTGCCGCTGATGCCACGCAGTTTCTACGACTACTGCTAATACGTCTACTTGTTCTGCTGCCACGACGACGCGACGCCCGCTAAGGCAGTCTCCGACCCGTTTCTGGGTCGTGCCGCAAAAATGAGCTGCAAATAAATAATCCTTTTGTCGATCTGCACATGTGTTCGAAGGATAGGAGTTTGTGAGGAAAGTCTTGTCTTTTTCTCTCGCCCGATCTCGTTCAACAGGATCAAAACAATCCTAAAGTGCGAGGAGACTGAACTCCCGAAATACGTCGGTCGGCGGTTGGAACTGCGTCGTTGTTGGCAATCATTGCTGTCGCGCACGGAGGAAGAGACAAGCTTTGATTCGGAGCGCGTCACTTGATGCGTGAAAAACACTCACCGTATTCGAATGTACTTGCGCAAACCTCCTTCGAAGATGGCCCGTTTCCTTGCTCGTTGTAGGCTTGGCAGATCACGCAGTACTTTGTTCGTTTGTTCAGGCCTTGTATAACAAACTCCTCGACGTCACGCGGTACGAGGTTCAACAACGAGTGGGTTTTGTAAGCGAAGATGGATTCCGAGTTGGCTCTGAATCCGATGTAGTAACCTTCGATTGGCACCAGCTGAGGGTCGACCGGTCGCTGGGAATGACAAATGTCCCGTTAGGCGAGTCTGTTGTAGGAAATCCTCCGACGACCCAGCGAGTACAGTGATGAATCATTTCTAACGCAAGAGAGATACACGTCGGAAGCTTCTCCTCCTCCGATTCCGATTGTACCCAGTTGAGAGTGCCGGAGTCCAAAGCGCATCCGACACCATATGTCCTCTCGTTTTAATCTCGATAGGGTTCAGTATTCAATCGGAAACGGGTGAATTACACATTGTATGTATATGTTATACTATCTACTTAAGGTCCGCTTCGTAGAGTTTGTCGAGAAAACTCTGCGAACGGAACCCCGAAGATCCCAATTCCGCTAGTGTTGCCTAGCTCGCCCGATGAGCATATGTCTCCCTCGTGTGATCCACGAGGGTCCCGAATCCGAGAAGACGAAGTGGTCAACGAGCGAGGCGGATGCAGACGACGAAATAGGAGACGCCATCAGAAACTGGCTAGCACTTATCTGTATGTATATATGTACTTCCTCCTGCTCTTTTTCCAAACAATGAAGGAACTCACCCTCCAGCGGACCCGAAACTTCGTAGAGCCCATGGGAATCACTTCGACATCTCTCGGAGGCTTCTGAGGCGCTGAAGGAGGGAATAAGAAACAAATTAGCAACAGTATTCCGATATCGTTTATTTGCCTAGGCTTTGTTCCGAACTTTCACAGAAGGACCGCCGGATCGTAGAACACTAGCGGCGCGCTTCGATTTCACGTCAGGCTCCTCCGCTATCAACCGGAGCACAAATGGCGAATTCGAATGCAGCGGATGTCTCTCTCATTCGGCTGCTGAGCCCTGGTCGGCAGAAAATTCAAGAGTCGTCGATGACCAGTAGAGGGCAAGTTATCTGTTCATCTCTCATCGGTTTTTTCCCCGGTCTCTCCCAGTTCCTCGGGGAAACAGATCCGTGTCGGAGGCCGGAAGGTCAGGGTGAATTTTCGAGCATCAACCGACGTGCAGCAGCTCGGCAGGTGCAGTCGTTGCTCATAGAGTTTCTGCTATGGAACATATCGCTGAAGGGATCATGCGAACGAACAACTTTTGCAGGGAAACTATTCCGGAATGGCTTCGACGGCGAATTCCGCGGCGTACTCTCGCCAGCAGCCGTAGCAATAGCGGCGACCGAGCGTTTCGGGGTTCTGGCCCCGGACTCGGCGGACAAAAGCCGCCGGCCGGGCTGTGGATCCCACACATGCGTACGAACGAGCGAGCGAACGTATAACCGTGTCTGCGTGCTTGTGTGTCTGCTGCCAACTGTCCCGCGGAAGGACTCCCGCGGCGGCTCCCTTGGCGCATGCGAAGGAGTTTGGCTTCAAGCGGCATCCTCCGATTCCGCGGGCGGCTATTGTGCACTCAGCGGCATGCCGACGCGCACAACTTGGGGAGCACCATTCACTTCGTCTTCGGATGGCGACTGGATTGCAAGCTGACTGCTCGCTAAGAATGTGCAACTCTAGCAGCAGGAGCCGCGAACTAGCCGCGACTCCACCTGAGAATGGGACTCGACCCGCGAGGCCTACAGCCGGTCAGCCAGCCGTCTGGCGTTCCTTCCCTCGGCAGCGGAAATCAGTGAAAGGTGTGGGACGAACCGCCGTGGATTTTCTCGGTCACGGATCGATGGGGAACATGGCTGAAGCTTTCGATGTATCAGAGCCTCTCCGATCTCGTACAGAACGCGCTACCACCACAACGGTGGCAGCAGAATGTGCCTCCGGAAGTGAATCCATTCGTTCGGATCGTAGAATCTCGCACCGTGGAGGGAGTGAGTGGGTAACACCGAGGACACTCGACCGGCGAACGGGCGAGCATATTACCAATCTGAATCGTTGCTTGACAGCTTATACAATGCGCCAGGGAACATACTTCAATAGAGCACATCGGGACCACCGCTTCATCCATATTAGGAGAAGTCCCTCCCGTAATTATCAGTGGATCGCCTCCGTTCGCCGACGTCCGTCCGTTGTGCTCGACATTCGCGAGTTTGGACCAGGCGGGAGAGGAGTTCCGCAAGAGAGGTATTATCACCGGGCGGTGGAAAGTGGTGTGCACGAAAGTCAGTCAGACAAAGTACAGAGCCAAGCGAGAGGTAGCTCGTGTGCCAGCCGGTGCCTGCAGTTTTGCGGTCATTGCGCGCGTTTTTTCGCACCACCGTGTGAAAGACTCTCCATCCAGGTTCCTTCGAACACAAAAGAAATTCTCCTTTTTCTGTTCTCCGGCCTGCTGTTGGTAGTGGTCTCGGTGGTCGTCGTCGCCGCCGCCGCCGTCTTTTCTCCGGTTCTGCTCCCTGACTTAAATCTTCCCATTCACACCTCGACTGACTGGCGTTAGCTGCGGGGGAGACGAAAACGGCGAAAACGACGACGACGACGACAACAAGGGCGACAACCACTGGTACTGTTGTTGCGGCTTTTCAGAGCGCGATGGCCGTTTGCCACTTGCAAATCGTCTCCGAGCGGAATGGGGCAGGTGGCGCGGAGGGATGCGGAAGATGTTTAGGACTGAAGTCGGGGCCGTCAGGGACGTTGAATGAGCAGCAGTGGAAACGGGATATTTTTTAAATGAGTTCGAGCTCGACGGGACGGGAGCGCGGCGGTAGGGAAAAAATGCACAGCTGGTCGGCGGGACGCGCAGACGCACGTCCTGTTGTAGGGAAATTCGGTAGGAGCAGCTAACTGAGTGACGGAGTAGACGTGAATGTAAATGCGCCGGAAAAAAGCGACTTGCTCACAGCCAGGCAAGCAGGCGGACAGACGTATGCACCGACGGTCGATTGGCTTTCGACAGAACCAATAAGGGGTGAGTAGACGACTACGACGGCGGCGGAGGGTGCAGCAGCAGTGGTAGCGCGGAAGCGGGACGGCGGTGAATCGGGAGGAAAACGGGCATGGCCAACTCGGAGCATGCATTTGCCCTCATTCTTTGGCCGCGCTGCGCACGAAACGAGACTTTTTTTTTCTTTCACCGAAACGGGAGGAATTGCCTATTTCGAATAGACTTGTGCCGGAGAGTGGAGTAGCTCACCAGCACAAAGTCCCCAATCAGTGCCGCAAGGAAATTTTACGAAATATATTTTCTTTGCCTCCGAGAGTCTTATATTCAAAATTCGCGGGTGAACTAGCAAGCGAAAAGGGGCTGTCGACAATCATGTGCAGCAATGCCGGGACGACGGGCGCAAAGTGTCACGCTTTGAGTTTTTCCGCTTCTCGACGATGCGTACTTTCTTTCTCTCATTTCCTTGTGTCTGTTTCCGAGAGTCACTTGACGCAAATGGGTTCGGAGCTCCCCAGCGTGCACGGGTCCCCTAAACCTCTGAGCGGGCACGTCAGCGCCGGGGATTCACGAAATCTTCGAAAAAGTCAATGATTTCTGACGGTTCCAATCAGAGAACTCGGCAGAGCTCGGCGCCTTCCCGTGGCGGTGCTCTCGGTAAAGTGCCCGGCCGGGAGGGATTCCCGTCAGAAATTAATTCACTTTCGTTGACGTCGCCAGTTCAGCAGACGATTGCGCTTTGTTTATCTTTGAGATTTAGAGCAGCACCAGCATCCGAAGCCTCTCACGACCGTATCGCTGCTCTGTCCGTAATGCTCCCCCCCCCCCGCTACCCCGCCGTTATGCCCTTCCGAGCCCTCTCAAGCCGCCAGGGGAATCGGCTCCGCTCGCGCGGTGGATGAAAGATTTCGAGAAAACGCACGGAAAAAAGGGGGCGGAGGGGGACAGAGTGAGCGTCGGAGAGAGACTTGCGTGAGAGTGTGGAAGAGAAAAGACGTCGGATGGAATGCTCCCAAATCGCAAACACAAACAACATTGTAAATGGGGCGGGGCTGGAGGAGAACGAGCGACCGTGAGCGGTAGGTGTTTGTGACAGAGGGGAAAGCGACTCGGAAGAGTGGGGCTGTTCGGTCGTAGATGGCCAATGGGAAAACAGGGGAATGCGAGAGGAGGTTTCCCGGGGATCTCTCCGATGGGGTAAATGGCGGCAAGGGATGGGGTGGGCGTGAGCTTCCTTAATTCGTAGCCACGTAAAGTAAATATCTGCTCGCTTGCAGCACTTTCAAACGAAGCAAACGGCCACAGAGAGAAAGAGAAGAGAAACAATACTTACGATCGACTTTGGTGGTGACATTGACTGTTTTTGAAGGCCTCGACGTGCCGATATCGTTGCTGGCAGCGACGTAGATTTCGTATGTTGTTCTCGGCAGAAGGTTCTTTATTGTGGCGCTCTGGGATCCGTCGTCGGAGACGAAGCTCGCCCGATGTTGAGATAGGACCGATTCTTCCGGCGTAGCTGAATCGGCTGGAAGAGAGGGAAACGCTATTTTTGAAACCAGAAGAAATCGTAGCGGGGCTTCATTTAGCATATTCGGAGCCCGCTCCCGCGTTCATTAATCATCGTTCCGACGTCAGATCGGTCGGAGAGCTGGAGCGGAGGCAGGCACGCCGAGAAACTCGAGAGTCTCGAATGTTTTCATATGAACTAGACCGCGATCTCGAGCGCATCTTCTGGTTTTCTGGCCTCCCTCATTTTCTTCTGATCAGACATGTCAATCCCAGATGTTTTCGCAACGAGAGTCGAGCTGTGAACACGCCTCAGGAGCACGGCCTCGGAACGGAAGTTACGTAACAACCCAGCCGGGAATCCCTCCACGAATTCCCAGCCCAGCATGGAGCTCGATCGTGGGTATGGCCTTCACCGAGAATGATTCCCGGAGAAGATTCTCCCGGTCTCGTACGACAATCATCATACCATCATGTCGGCCTGACAATGAGCTTGATCCAGGTCCCCGAAAACCCAGAACCCAAGCTCGGGGAGGCCACGGTCGCTCGCTGCCTTACCACCCTCGAGGCGACAGAAGACCCAAATCGAGGTTGGTTGCCAAACTTCGAAGCCCTCGCGAGTCGCAGGCGATTATTCTGGGACGTTTTTCATTAATCGGCAGAGGGACGGCTCCTAAATGGGGGAGGGAGCAGAAGCAATGGAATCCTCTAGAGGAGAGACTGAGGATGTGAGCCTTTCCTTCTTGCTCTAGCTATCTCGCCCCTCAGAGCGTTCCCCCTTCTCAGTCGCCTCCGTCTTCGCAACGGCTCAGCATCCCGGGAGGAATTCGGGGTGGCGAAGAGGGGAACAGGGAACGGAGAAGGAGCGGCGGCAAAGATTTATCAGCTAGCTGACCCGAGCGGCAGCCGTAACTGACGTCGACGGAAGCTTTTTCCTCCTCGTATGCGTAAGAGGTCGACCGAGCATATTTCAGGCAAGCCTCACAATTATCGCCTTGTGCGCCTAGGCACCGATATCCGTATCCGGACCAAATTCGGTGTGAAGTTAAACTCGCGTCCTCCGAATGCAGAGCGGAAGCGAGTCGTCGCGAGGACCGGGATTGCAGCTTTGGGAAGGGGAGGAGAGATGACCACTGTTTCTTTTGCTCAGACCCCATTGACCATCGGTGTTTGCGTCGGCTATGAGGTGTTGTAATCGACTTGTGGTGGGATATCCCCCCTGACGATGAGTGTCCATTTGATTGGTAGCCCGGATGAACATCGATCCGTGCACTTCAAGCAGCCTATCTAGGTGACACGAGTGACTGTCTATACGACTGACGAGACCGTTCTCTGTGTGAGCACTTGCTGACCGAGCCGACTTGACTGCATGGGCGGACGGCCGGGTAAGCATGCCTAATTTCATCGTGACAGCTTGACAATCCGCTTCCCGGCTCTACCCACTCGTTTATTCGACCGTCATGTTACGTCAAGCAAACGAACGAACGAACGAACGGTCTCTAAGCCGCTCATGAATCGAAGCTCACTCACTCAGCTTCCTGGACCATCGGCCGCTTGATCCCGTTCATCCGCTCTCAGCTGACTTGTACCACAAAGCAATTACAAGCATCACTGGGGAGATCTCTGCCGTCTTCTGACCGAGGAGGTGAGTCGATCGGGTAGTAGAGCGGACGGGAAGATAATCAGGTAGTCGGGAACACGAGCAAAACCCAAGGCCGTGGAACAGAGCGAATGATCCCGGGAAAAACCCACGCACACTGATATGGTATTCCGTTCGCCATGAGGTCACGCGCCATGAGGCTCGCGCCCTCATTGTCTCGGAATTACAGAGAGTAATTTTTTTTTGAATGGACAAGCTCTTCTACGGGAGCTGGAAGATCGCTCCCGAGTTCCCCGTTGAGGGAAGCGCGTTTATATTCGGAGTCGCGGAAGCCGCTTATTTGAAAACTTTCTCTCGCAGCACGCGACTCTTGTACTCGACATAATCACCTGAGGTGATCCGACAGTGTCTCCGTGTCGGCGACGTGACGCTGGCCACGCGGCAAACTACCTCCGCCCCCGTCTTCCGTCAGAGCAAGTTTGCCGCTCCGTCTACAAGTTTCTTCAGCTTAAATCGATGTCTGCATCTGCGGGTCGTTTGCAGATTACGGCTTTTCGACACCGTACCCAAAACACAACGTCGCCCGCAGTGTTGGATGCACCTCTTACCTTGACGGTAGCTGATGACGTAACTCTTGATGACACTGTTGCCGTCAGGTGGAGTTTCCCACTGCAAAGTGATGGAGCTCGAGGTCGCTTCTATGACTCGGAGTTTGGTCGGCGGCTCCGGTTTATCTGCAAGGTTGTCACAGGCGAGGTTAGAGGTGCACTTCAGGCTCGACATCCATGAGGAAGGTCGGAAGGATGAGTATCCCCTCCCCCCTCCCTCCCAACGAGTATCACTTGACACAATTACAAAGGTTGCCTATCCGATCCGAAAATCCACCGTTAGGCGTTATTTTTGTCTAACGAGCAGGAATTGATTTTTTTCCCATGACAAGACACTAGTTCCGCGAGTTGAGACCGTTGCTGAGCGTGGTAATGAAAAAAAACTGCTCAGTACGACAGATGCCAGGGAGCGGGGATATTTCCGTCGGAACGGTAACCAAGCATCGGATCAAAGACGAATTGTACTGAGCAATCCCAAAGAAGGCTTTAGCGATCCCGTCGGCTTTCGGGTCCGCAGTCCCAAGCTCCGATATGGAGCCATTTCCTCAAGCATCCAGTCTTGGCTGTTCTGGAGCTGACTTGAGGTGCTGCTGGAGGATCCAATGCGTATCGAGAGCGGATGGTTCCATTCAGGACTTCGAATTCAGATGATTGCCGCTTGACGAAGAGTCCGAGCAGGACACGTGTGAGATGCATTCCGGGAAAGCATGTATCATCAGCACACACGACGGTATCTTTCGAGCCCGCTGCACAAAACCATAATGTTGCCGTGTCGTGTAAGACCCTGCTCGCGAATCCGGTTGTTTGGTCCTGGTAGCTAGTTTTCTCCGCACGCGCGACCAGAACGTCGGCGGTGTTCCTGACAGGCGGGACATCGTTTTGGCTGCTCGTTCGTTCGTTCGCCCGCCCGCCCGCCGGGTGACTGGCTTGGAGAACCGGAGTTGTGTTCCGTGCTAATTGAACACGACTTGAGTTTGCCGTCGCTCGACTCGACTTGCGCCCCCTTTGTGCCGTTCTTCCGCGGCCTGTCCCGTTTGCGCCCCCACCCCCCTCGAAGCCCCAACTTTTCCCGCCGCCGTGAACTTGAGTTGTGTCGGCTTTCCGCCCGCAGAGAGTTTTTTGGTGACTTCCTAGTAGAGTTTATCTTTCTGGGCGGCCAGCGGAATCTGTTGTCACTCTCGCTTACTTCGGAGGATCTTTCCAGGAAGAATCCCTAGCCCGAGTCCTTGGCTACTTGAGTTTTTCCTTGATGTATCGTTAGGAAGGGACTTTGCACTACGAGCAGATCAGAGGGGCAATCTCTCACCATCGGCACGAGTGCCCGTTTGAATACGGCGGACTTCGAGCAGGAATACTCGAGATTTCGTTTTGGGAAGGCTGGATATCTCCATCTAATTATGAGTCTGGGAAACGTCATGTCATAAATATGGGTCGGGCAGCTCGCGGAGCATTTTTTGGGAACGTTTCGCGCTTGGTAAGCCGTGAAGACTTGCAAGCGTACCTTGTACGATGAGGCGGGTGTGTAGACTTTCTTTTCCGTACGGATTCGTGACGGTGCATTCTATAACGCCTGAGTCCGATTTTCTCACTTGATCAATCTTCAAGTTCGACACGAGTTTGTCCTCTGTCACCATTTGATCGTCCATGCTTATCCTGAAATTTGAAAAATCCAAATGTTATCTCAAGGGGTCGCGTTTGACCGTACCACTGGTACCTCCGGTGTCATGGTAAAAATTGGGAACATTTGCAGCGGAACTGCTGTCGAAGGATCATTGACTGGAGAACAGATGGCTCAAAAGAGTAGGAGTCTCCTCCCTATAAACATTGAGTACGTTGCGAATTCGATAAATGATCAGGGAAACCACGCGCTTCGGTCGGCTCGAAGACTCCTCTGGCCGCAGGCAGGAATTCACTCGCAACCGCCGCATCAGTACTTGACCCCAAGGGCCCACTTCCATGATGGTCACAAGTACTCAAGGTTTGCAATGCGAGAGCAGCTCGGCTACCGCGGCGCACGCGTGAGCGTTTCGTTCTGCTCCGACCCTCCGATTCTTGAGCGCCTCGTGAATCTTCTGTACGAGTTCCGTTTGGCGACGCGAACCGACGCCTCGACTCCGTTCCCGGCCCCTAGAATCACCGACGGTCTTGCCGCACAATCTGTCGCTGAATCCGCGGAAGAGGCCAGTCTAGATCGTAGGCGACAGAAGGAACTCCTCGAGGGAGAGAGACCACACCGCGCGCCGGAATGAGCCTCTCGAAACAGTCAGAGCGGATCGTTCCTCGGATCAGATGATGATGAACGTCCTGACTGAACGGTCAGGACGGAAAGCTCGACGTTTTGCTCGACTCTCCCGGGAGTATGGCGATTCCAGATCGCGGGGGAAAGGATAGGTATCCCACCACGAATCAGTTTCCGCATCTCCAGAGCCGAGCGATTTCGGGAACCGAACGATCATAAAGCCTGTACCGAACCGATGTTCGACGATCCTCCGCCCGATGTCATCTCGCATAGTTGTGTGCAAGTTCAAGTCATGTGGAGTCCAACATCTGTTCGTGACGTTCCAAGTCCATCAAGGAATGTTCCATTTACTTGCTGCGCCGAACTGTTCCAGAGCCACCTGCACCGAAACAACCATTACGGCCCTTCCGCCGTCAACCGTTCTCCTTGTTGATGTCGTCGCGGCGGCCTCTCCCGCCGTCCTTGTCCTGTGGAATCCACTCGACAGAGCTGCGCGTAATTCCGGTCTGAGAGGATGCCTCGACGGAAGTATGACGCATTCCCCCCGTGCCACGAATAATAATGAATAATTGTCGAGCCTCCCCGTCTCGCGGATGATTATTCCTTATCGTGCGTGCCATCAAATCTAAACACGGAAGTCTTTATGAGCCGGATCCGAAGCCAGGGTTCGGAGTCCGAGGGAAAAAGTGGCCACCTTGAGCTGACAAACGGACAGCCGTCCGACGGATTGACCGAGATGGCGGCAGTAGAGGAACCGGATGTCGGAGTCAACGGAGCGGAGCCGAGAGCCATTTAGTTCAATGGAGTTTCCCAAAACCATGCCGGTCCGTCCAGTTCCCGTGCGTGGGCTCTCCAAAGCTTCGTCCGGCAGTCTGCTTCAACATTCGGCAGCGCTTTCCGCGCCCGTGTCCGGCCAATTGTAATGCTCGCCAAGCCCCACAAAAGCCTTAAACCCGCAGTCACTCCCAGCCGAACACTCACATTCTGCCGGCCGGGATCCCTATTCCGCTCTCTTAACCCCTCCTGTGTTTCGTCTATTGGGAGTCCATTGAGGGCGAATGCGGGGAGCGACGCACACCCATTGGGACATACGCAAGTCTAATCCTTCGCTGCAGCTCTAATTATCTAAATGCAGTCTCACTCCCAGACCAATCTGCGGCACAAACAACACTCGCTGCAGCCCTCCTCGGCCCGGATTCGTCCTCCCTTTCTCCGATTCTTGCTCACGTATTTTCGACCGGAGCTCCCATTGTCGAGACGACGGAAAAATAAATTTTCCACGGCTGCAGGCTGCTCCCTCGGCTCGAGGATACTAAATAAGCAGGTCTGGCTGGGGCTCTCGATTGCGGCCAGCTTATCGTGCCTTTCGCTCCATGATCACAAAAACAATCGAGACGCGCGACCACGAGCTGGGCTTCGGAATTTCCTCTCGAAGCACGCTCTACCGTAGACTTGCTCAACGCCGAAATCGCGGAGGATTTTCCGGGTGATTTTTGTGCAAGTCGAGCCGGATCGGTCCGCTTCTCCGGAATGTCGCCCAGTGTCGGAATTTTCCGCGGAGGGAGGTATTTTCTCCTTTATGGAGCTGCCTTGTGCTCCTCATGCGGTCCCGACTCGTGAGCTGTTCGTGTTTGGAACAGAAATACCGCTTCTGAACCTCAGTCTCGAGCATGACCTCTGCGATAGCGTACGCCACGCCGTGAGCTGTGGTAAACGACGTGCTGTGCATACGTCGTTCACAACACACTGATTGTGCCTGAGGAGAAACGAGTCTAATGTCTCTGATGAGGGGGCGAGCAGCGGGGAGTTTCTTTCCGAAGTTTGATTCAGTCCTCGTGACGTTGTACTTTTTCTTTTATTTCTCGTACCCGTCCCCCTCAAGTTCCCGAGTCGCCGCCGTCATCTGCTTCGACCCAGAGCTCCGATCCGCGACCCAGCTCGTTGCGTTTGCAACTACGCGACGAGCAACGAGAGGGGGAACAAACATTCTCCTTGGGCGATCAGAAATGTGGGCAGAACGGCGCGAACCCAATCGGGGAATGCCATCCCAGTCTATGAGTAATCGTTAGCCTGCCCGGAAAAAAAAACTTGAAAGGAGATCTCATATATCTATCCGACAGAAACTCTGTACCAGGGATTCAGCTTGTGCAAGCCTTATTTCCGATCGCAACGGTATCGCTTTCGAGATTTTAGTTTTCCGCTACATCAGCAGAGTGGCCGTAAACCCAAGACCATAAATATGCCCATCACGGGATCGAGTGAAACTCCTGACGAATTTCTGCTGCATAGCCGATGGATATGGACCATCCTAAGACCGCTTATCCACCTTGAAGGAGGTCTCAGTCATTTGGGGTGGGTAATTATTTATTCAGAGAAGACAGTTGGATCCTCAGTCAGCTGCCCGAGCCATTCGGAGAGCAACGAGGAAAAGGGAAGGAATCGAATCAAAACTCCAAGATGTTTCGCGTCGGTCACCGAACCCCTGGAATATTTTCCGAGAGACGGAATACCGTCGCTCGTCCGCTGCAAATGTATGTACATGGTCGTCGTCATGCAGTGGACGAGGAATGAGATTTCTCGCGGAAAACAAACAACGACGACAGGGAAAAGCGCCGAGAAACGATAACGGATGTCGTACGATTGTGTTTGCCCTTAAAAAATGATCGTTGGTTGAATATTTTCTCGGCGAAAAGACCAAGTGCGTAGCAAGCGGCCCGGTTTGTCCGCGATTCGTCGTCCACTTGCAATGATAAACTGGCGAAAGCTCACGCGATCGAGGCATAAATTACTTCCAACCGCCCATGTCATCTGGTCGCACGTCATTCTTGCGAGCCTCCCATAAAGTCCGATCAGCATTTGTAACGCGGCGTTCCCGACAATCGCTCGGTCCGTCTCTCGAGGTCCCCGTCGCCGCCCGGAAGGTCAGACCGGGGCCGCGGTCGGGGCAAAAGAGGGTGTTTAACTCTTCACAAAGCGCGGTACCCGCGGACGCCGAGCGGAGCTTCCCCCTGCGTTGAAATCCTCTCTCTGGAGCAAGTGCAATTCCGAGCTAATTAAACGAAGAGTTTCAGTTGATGCGGGCAGAGCAGTCTGCTCAGTTTCAAGCATCCGTCCCCCCGCCCTCGGGAACGCTATAGCTCCCCACAATCGCTCGGCTCCCAAGCGTCCCGTGACCCTTCGCGACCGTTCGACCCTTCATCCCGTCGGCCTGCGGAGCCGCTCTGCAATATCGACGTGCTTACATATTCCCAATCGGTTCGTGGTCGAGGCTTAATACTCCGTCGAGTATCGGCTGCCATCGCAGATGGCCATGGGGCCTGGAGCCGGACAAAGCGACCTCGAAGTCTGTGAGGTGGCCTAGTGAGGCTTCCACAGAACGGCCTTCAGAAGGACGGGCCTCAAACAAAACAGAACCGGTTCCTATTAAGCGCCTTGCGACCACCCGAGCTGCGAGCTCGGCTTCCGGAACCGCTTACACCGATAGTACTCGAATAGAGTGGGCAGATCCTCGAACTCATGAGGGCTCTATTCAAGTTCCCGCATCTGATGCAGGTAGCTCGGAGGGGCATACGGACGGATCACATGTTTTGAATCCTTCCGAAAGATCTTCGGTCCCTCCTGCGCTTTTCCCCCGCGATTCGCTACGAATCCTCCGACATCCTCTTTGACGATCGAATACATCGATCGGAGTCGACGGGGAAAAACGAGGAGCACTTTCAGTCAGAGAGAGCTCGTAGACGAGCTTCTGGGACTGGCGGGTTCGGATCGACGAGCAAAGGCTGGGTTTCCCGCCGGACGGAGCCGGTGGCGGGGGTTCGCTCGCTGGGTGACGAATAGAACTCCCATCAAGCGAGTTCTACGAGCCTCTCATAAACATAGTCTTGCGCTTCGTGTTAGCGCTGCTTTTTTTCGCGCCTGGTTTTTGGCTCCAGCACCGCCACGGACTCCTTCGAGCACTCGTAATTGAAGGGGTTTGTGATGTACTACGGACGAATGAGCCGGAGTGAAGAAGTTCAGACGCCTTGTGAGGAGCGGGAGACTTCGTCGAGCATCAATGGAGGCACCGCCAGAAGCTGTGCGAGCCGGATTCTTGTCGCAACTTCCGCTCGCGCACCAGCATTCACTCGACGTTCGTGTTCGTTATGTTCGGCCGCCAGCAGCTGCACTCGACCATTTAGCTCGAATGGTGAAGTTTGCTAATGTTTAACTTATTAGTCGACAGTAATTATTCCTCCCGTCTGAATTATGTCTAGTCGCAACGGAGCTTCCGGCGAACACATAGGCCAACGAGGGAACGGAAAACCAGGAGGAAGAAATGATCTCGGCAGCCAGCTTGCGCGCGAGCTCTACCCGGGCAGCTCACCGTGAGAGCCGCAGTTGTCGACGCAGGAGGTGGGGGAATGCGGTGGGAGGGGTGGGGGAAGCAGGGGGGAGGGAATGGGGGAATCCGAAGGTGGTGGGAGCAAGAAAGCTCGGCAGGGGAAATATGGAGGCAAAGTGGTTGGCATCAACTAATGGCCAAAACAGTTTTCGTTCCGCGCAGATTGTAAGATACCGAGACTCCTGTTTCCCCAGACCCTATAATCTCGCCGGACTCAGTCGGAGGTTCGGCAAATACGTAGGGTCAACGATCCGAATGAATTATTGAAGATTCCAACCATCAAGCTCCTCTGAAACATCCGCAAACTTTGAATAGCGGCGCCCGCACCTGACCGCAGCAAGTATTCGACGCTCCGGGATTGCTCCCGTTCGCCGTTCTGAGTTCCGAGGAGTCCCACTCGCTTTCGAAACTCCGGACCTCCTCCTCGTCGCGGCTGGGAAAAGCTCAACGGAAGGCTTCCGAAAATGAGAGAGGCGGTGAGAAGTATTCTAGGCTGTTGCCACCCGCTCGGGGTCGGGGCGGGAGGCCAAAAGATAGGGCCAAGGGTTCTCGTTTCTGACGTGCCTCCTGTAATTCAGGGATATGTTTCATGCGCTGAAGCTATGTGCCATAGACGAAGCACGCAAGCGTAACATCAACACGCTATTTCAGAGCGTGCGTCGTCGTGCCAGCGTGCTGACTGGCTGGGTGGCCGAGTGCCGGGGCCGGATTCCCCGTTTGTTGCCGAGTCGCCCGGGGCTTTGCGACGCTATATCTGAATCTTTTCGCCATGAACGCTATTCGCCAGATGCCAAATGGACACATTCGAGGCCACAACCATAATCCCGATTCCCCAGATGCGGGGCGCTCGAGGACCGAGCGGTCAGCCTGCGACACCTGGAGACGGTCCGGTGCCCGGAAGAATCGCCAGAGGCCGACAGCGATTCTCCATGAAGGAATCTTCGCTGAATCGCTTTGAATAATGACCGGACGCTTGTTGACACAAACACACGCGAATAAGAGTCCGATCGAGCTCACTCGAGAGTTCGTCTCAATAGGGCAATGCATAGCAATCGTTCCCATTAGCTCGATTACCCTAAACGAATCGCATTTTCGGCGGTGGCGCGGCGCGACGTAGTGAACGTGTGATCGAACGCAAGAGAATGACACGACGAGGAATCGAGGTGAATTCGGACCGACACTGCCCACGCGTGGAGTCGATCAGGCCGCTGTCTGGCGGACTGAGCGTAAAACCGTCGCCGGGCTAGCCGGTTGGCACTCCGCCACGGATAGACAGCACGCATTCGGGGGCAGGGAGATCAATGCGCTCGGGGCCATTATCGAAATTGCTATTCCGACTGCCAGGCCAACTAGCAGCCTGGTGATGATCGTCATCTGTCCTTCGAGTCGTCTGCGGTTGCGGTGGTCAAAGTTCATTTGATGTAGATGGAGCGACGATCGTTGTGCGAGAGCCTCAATGACATCGCTGCAGGCCAACAGCTTCATAACGAGTGATGCTCGGCAATATGGGTTGACGATGGATCATTAGTCGTGTTTGCGTAGCGGCCCCCAGTCCCTTCTCGCTCTGGTGACAATGTTTCACGTCGATTCGCACTCGGAAAGGGGTTCGGATATGAAGCGCATAGTCAGAGAGCGACCGATTCTGCGCTCGGATCAACCGCACCAACCGCATATAACCTACGCGCGATCCGCTGAATTTCGCGGAGAGAGTATGAAAAGTTTTCCGAGGGAAAACATCGCCACAGAATACGAGTGATAATCGCGAGCCCTACGTGGGTTTTTCGTTTCGTGCGCCCGAAACTCGACGAATAGCCAGGGCGAGTGCTCGGGTTTGTAGGGCGAGCTCACGTGACGCGATCCTGCGCTGGCTGCAGTTCCAGATTTATCCGCGGGTCGAGGTGAGCGTGAGCTGACTCGGCAGGAAACTGGCTGAGAGAGATACTGACTGAGGAGGAATTTTGCGCGCGCGACGTGCAGCAGTCGACCGTGACTTGTCACATCAGGCTCTCATGGAAATCGCTTGGGTTGCGGCGCGAGCCCGATCGACATCAGGTTCATGATTCCGAGTGTGAAGTGACGCTTCCGTTTGTGTCTGACGTTCGATACCGGGAGACCTAGTTGCTGAGTGAGACCCGGGTTCCGTTACAGGAACCTCACGTTCGCGCTCCATGGGTCGAACGCCGTTCGTCTCGACGGAATTTCTCACAAAACAGTCGACGATTCAAATCCAATCTGGGTTCGCTGAGTCGTAAACGATACACTCGTTCCGCGGAGACATCCAGGAGAGAGAGGTGGGAAAAACCCCGACGATATAGTTGTTTGACGAGGCGGAGTGGCTTCAGGAGAAACGGGGCGCTTGTCGCGAACGCGGAGTGCGGCTCAGACCCATCCCGGCCGGGTCAGGTGGATGAAGGAGGGAGGTAGACGGCTAAGACAAATATGGACTGGAATGGCCAGGTGATCATTTACGCACGGGGGCGGAAAAGACTCTCAAAGACAAATGTGACTCTTCGACGCTGCCGTCTCCATAAAAACGCCGCCCGTCTCCCTCCTTACCCGCCGCCGACACCCTGTCCTCTCACTCCCTGCCTATCCCGGAGCCGAGTCCTGTCATCGTCGCCGCCGCCTCCGAGGAACACGAAGCGACCGAGCTGAGCGAGGAGCAAGTGGCGACAAAGCGATTCGTGCAACAAATCGTGCAAGCTTGTCGTTCTTTTTTTGTCGTTCTTAGCACGACCACGGAATTCATGTTCTGTGTTTCCGACTCCTCTGCGCTCTCAGCGTCGACTGCCGACGACGGTCCCAGCGAACAAGCTCGGCATCGTTCCAGTGTTTCGTCTCTCACCTCGAAAGCTTCCCGTGCGAGTCTCTCTCACAGTCTGGCGTCCGCGCATCCCGGGTTTCCGCACTCGTGGTAGAGCCAGAGCGCTGAGCGAATGCAAACGACTCGAAGGAAAAATCTGCGTTGTAGAAGAACGGAGACTGGACTGAACGAAGACTCTCTTGCAGTCGGCGACAGTTTTACGATTCGCGTGGACTCTTTCCGCTGGTCAGCGAGGTCGGCCGAAACTGTGTGGGCTGTGGAAACGCGATATTTCCGCGCTGTCTTTCTCTCTCGTCCCGTATGCTCGACGTTCAATGGCGTGCCCGTCACAACTCGCTTTCAGCTGTCTCCGTTCGAAATCGTCCTCGATTTTCATCAACATCCTCTGCGACACAAGCTGCGCGGCGTAACAAACTTTATGAATCCACCGGATCGTGCGGACGAGTATGCGGGCCGTACAGACGCGCGAGTCTCCTCCCCAAGGGCGACGACAATAGCGGCGACAATAATCACAACAACGCCGCAACCGCCGACCATGACAGAGCTCTGACAAATCCTTGACTCGCAATATGTACGTCCAGTCCCCTCCTCGTCTCGCCGGTATTGTTGTTGACGCTGTTTCTTTCCGAAACAACTCGTGGTTCGGTGGCGAGGATTCTGATGTTCTTGACGGTTTCATCTTTTTTTGTTCCAGCTCCGCAGCGCCAGCCGCACGTCGACGATGTCGTGAACGATTCCTTCAGATTCGAGGCGATGAAAATAAATTCACAGATCCAGAGCATGATTCCTTTCGAGAAGTTCCTCAGAGAACGAAATTCTCTTCGTGACGAAAGCCGCGGATGTACGTGGTGGAAATCGCGCGAAACTGCGACGAACCTATGTTCTACCGCAATGCTTTGATTTATTGCGAATCGTAGGGAGCGAAGGAGGACGACGGCGACAATGCTGTCGTCGAGAAAGGGACCGTTTCGGAACACGAACATAAGGAAGAAATGAAGGAGTGCGCGAAGACATTGCCGCCATGCTTCGCGGTCTCCCGGCGACCGCGAGCTATGTGAAGAGTTGATTGATTGTTTCAGTTACTCCCGGAGTTGTCAAGCGTAGACAACGTCGACTATGACGACGACCGGGAGGAAGGTGTCAGAGAAATGAAAGCATGTCGCTGACGCTGAATAGGACTTTCGCATTGTCAGGCGAAGGTACGCCACGAACCCTTCCTGTGATTTCAGGTCGAAGTTCGCTCCGGGGAAACTCTACGTCTCCGAGTCCTTCGAGATTTTTTGGTCCACGAGTCTGACAGAGTCCGGCGAATGAATGTTCTCAAGCAAATCGTCTACCCACGCGAGAACTCTTGGAGACTCGAGAAAATCATCATTCGGGTTCGAATAATCGAGACTCTAGAATTCGACCGTTCAGGAACTCAGCAGCATGTCATTATTCCGGTGTGATTATTTGGAGTTGGGATCCCATCAAGCTCGACATCTTCTCGTGCCGGGAGTCCAAGTAACACGGTGGAACATAACTTTGGTTTTGTGTCCAGACGTTGACTCGCACCGTTCAGTGTTCTGCTTCAATTCCAAGAGATGTATAGAACGAACTCACCGAACGTCGTGCTCTGGGCGGATGAGGGTCCCGTTGAAGCTCCAGATGAGCTCGAGAGGAGCGTCTCCGGTGGCGACGCATTGCACGGACGCTTGCGATTCTTTCTTCAGGCTGACGGTCTGGAGAAGACCGGACACATGCGGTTTAGCTGGAAAGAGTGAGAAATCCATGAGCGAGGATTATTCTCCAAAATCGGTCTCATGGAGACCATCGATCCCTCAAGAACCGGATCGAGTTTTCACGCAAATGATCACTTTCCCTCCACGAGCCCAAGCATGAAATAATTTTGGCAGACGAACTTATGACCTTACGAATGACGAAATATATCGGCATCATCTATCGGATGCATTACAGAATTATGAAAGACATAATCTCCTTGCGGAATAATTTAGGAAAGCATTACGTTCAACTCCGTGGCTCTCGATTCTTATGGAAACGCGGAGGGAGCTGCCATCATAAGTCCACAGAGTCGGGCCCTTGAAATAACATGATGGTATGCGAAAGAACATGATAGAATGCGAAAGAACATGAAACTTATGTGAAGGAACATGAAACTTATGCGATGCTGACTCGCGAGCTCCAGTAGTAGATGAGCTTCTGAGGCTGGAGGCAATGCAACTTATTGGTACGCTCTCGATCCTCCGATCACCCCGATCATGTTAGCTTATCTAGTAGGCTGCCACGTCGTCTTTCGAATCGCACCTCGGCGGAGCGGTCGAAGTATCATCTGGAGAGAGCTAGTGGAGAGGAGGAACATCCAGCGGACACCCGAGAGAAACTTGCTAATTTTCCGGAATAACTTGAGAACGATGCGATTGATCGAGTGGAAAATTGCTTCTCACGCTAGCAGGAATGATTCTGCATCGTTACGAAGTAATTTGAAGTCCTTACACACGCTTACGATTCTTGGTACGGTGACGGACCGACACTACTGCTCTATTCTTTAGGGGGATGATCGTCTTTGGAGCCCAGAGAGTCTGTCAAAAGATTCCTACCAAAACATCTGAGTTGGCCTCATCTCCATTCCACCACGAAAATCAGACCGAGATAGCCTCGAGGAAACCCAGGTCTGAGTGAGGGCGATAACAGTCGAATAACGCGGGGGACGCTTCGATTGCAGGCTGTCTGCTGGACGTTTGTGCCTGGCAGACAGAGAGATGTCGGTGTAATAGTGAGATCTTGAACTGTTGGGAGCGACCAGGAGCCGTCGAGGGAAGAAATGAACGACGGGACGAGGCGGCGGGGAATAGCGGAGGAGCGGTGAACAGAGACTCGAGCAAAGCCGGACACGTAAGGAGTCGTTGGTGGGGACATGGTCGAGCGGGTTCGGCGACTCTCAGGGGACAGAGGAGCGGCGAATATCAGAGAAAGCCCACGCGGATTCCCGAGCCATCTGGCGGAGCTGGCAGCTAACCAACCGACTAGCCAACGAGCTGAAGCGCTGTGTATTCATACGGAACTCATCGCTATTGGCAAATTGCATCGTACGACCATTGTTCTTGATAGGTCGGAAGGAAGATGGCACTATTTCCTCTCGTCTTTTCGGCCCAAATCGACCCGTACTCACTTCCTCACACGTCCGGTTCCACACACCCGATTGAGGGCGCGCGCGAAAGAAAACGGCATTGCCGGTGGCGGCCAGCGCGGCTCAGTGTTGAAGGAGGAATAAAACAGGACAAGAAGTCGCGTACTCGACTCATTACCCGAGGCGAGCTCACCGTTTCTCGAGTCTCGAGCGGTCGCAAGCGCGAGAAAGCTCAGGGTGTTCTTCTCTCTTTCGCAGCGGAGCTCTCCGGACAAAGAGGTAGCTTGTATCGTAATTAAAACCTATTCCCAAGCCGCTAGCCACCTATGTTGTTGTTGTTGCTGTTGTTGTCCCTGTTCGCTCGGCCGGACAAACGACCGCGTTCGGCTGTATTAAAGGCCGTCGGCTTTGCGGCGAGCGCTTTATGTGGAATTTCTCCCCGCTTAGTGAGTTCCAGCCCACTTCGCCTAACCTACTGGCCAGCGAGTCAGTCAGCCGGCCAGCCCAAGAGCAACTACCCTTCCGCTTTCTTGGTAGGTGGGTCGCAGGGTCGACGAGACGCGGTATGTTCATATTCAGTATGCTTCCGTCAATCAATAGAGTTCGCTGATGAGGTGTGCGTATGTGTGCTTGCAAACAAGTAACTCCCTACAACTACAAGCAAGGCTAAAAGGCTGCCTTGGTCGCGCGGCCGGCCGAACAGACCGAGCTGCTAGCAAGCAGCTAGCCCGCGCTTACCAGACAGCTAACAACAGCGGGGACGACAAAGGCGACAGATGTCCAACTTCTTCCTTTCTTCTACTTTCTATCGTTCTCTATCTGGCTCTCCATTCGTAGCGAACACATGAAAGTTTGTCAGACTACGTTGGAAGCTCTCCCACGTGTGTGTGCGTGAGGGTAGGTATTCAGAGGAACAAAGCCAAAAGAAATCAATGGAGCTCTGTTGATCAAGCAAAATTGGCTCTAGAATTCGATCGTCGTTCCGATTCCCCGCGGTCTCATGATGGCGAGACTATGAAATCGAGAATTCCCCGCAGTTGATGCTCCGGATCAGTCGGATGCGATCGTCGTCCGCAACAGCGCGGTCTCTGTTGGTCTGGAGCGAGTTTACTTTGTAGAAAGCTCTCTCGAGAAAGAATGAAAGTTGCCGCGCCGCGCTCACCAGAACTACAGCTCATCCCTGAGCAGTTGTTTCGAAACTCTCGCCAAAGGAGAGCCAACTGGCGCGTCGACGAACGCCGACGATGCGGGACTAGACGGGGGTGGCGAAGTTTTTTTTTCTCGCATACACCAAATGACTGTGTGGTGAGACAAACAGGGTGGCAGTTGCGGCGGCCGTGGCAAAGCTAAAAAGACTTGTAATAAATAAGCATAATGAGATTGTTGTCGTGCCGAATAATAAGCGTGTACACGCATATCCCCGTGGGCCTTTGCAGACTTACTCACTCTTGCCGGCTTGCTGTGCGAGCCATGGCCGCCGACGTCGGTTGGTTTCGCTTGGGAGAAGACAGGACGACAACTGCACAAAGTGCCACGGACTGCACGGCAAGCTATCTTCTATTCACAGAAAATACAGTGGTTTGAGTCCTGACAGTCGCATCGATGGCGTTTGCGAGTTGAACTCTGCGAACGACGGAGTCTCTTCCGCGGAAAAAATGACAAAGTCCCGTGCGAAGGTCGTGGAGTTATCAAAGGAAAGCGCTCGCTCACCCAGGGTCTTCGTTCTCGAGAGAAACTTTCGGCTATCTGCGACGGAGCGCCGGGAAGGTACGAAGTTGAAAGGCTGACATCTGTGAGAACTGTCGCTGACCGTGCAACGCTCTCCGAACTATTCTGACGCCCGGTTCCCGCCTCTCGGAGAAGAGCTAGTTTGCTCCTTGGAGACGACTACAAAGCTGTCAGTGGAGCTTCTAAAGTCGCCGCGAAGTCCAATAAAGAATGCCCTGGGCACACTCGGATCACGGAGTTTCACCGAGAATGAACGGGGAAGGACAGGGAGGGAATCCGAGAGCTGCGAGGAGCCGCCGGAAGAAGTTCAGCTCCGCGGAGACGAGAATATTGCTCGCTCCAGTATCGGACGCGAGTTGAACGGGGAAAAAGGACCGGTCAAACCGGAAAACAGATTTGAGTCGCACCGAGTGGGCTGGAGGTAACGAGCACGGGGGGTGATCCGGGGTTTCAACCAGGTGGGCGAGAACAGGGAGGAGCTGTGGGAAAAAACGAAGTCTTTTCAAAGACCAATCGAACGGCGAGTGTTTGGTCGGCGAGAAAGGAGCTCAACGTCGAGAAACGAGAGGAGGGGTGGCCGAGGAGAGAAATTGAATTCGGAGCCGTCACCGTCGTCTACGCTACGATACCTCTAAGAAGGCGATGGATGATATTTCTATATGGAGGAGGAAGTGACTGAAGAGGGTCTGGGGACTCCGAAAGCCCCACAGAATTCCTGTCGCCACCCGATCCGTTCGTGAAAGGGACCTCCAGGCCGCACGGAGTCGGCAAGAGCAACAAAAGCGGTTCGGAGGCGCTCAAGAATTCGGAAAATGTGGAATTTCCCCTACAGTCGGACGGCCGAGCTCCCGGAGAATCAGAACGTCGAGAAGGGACAGGCAACGCCTCCCCGAGAGCCGAACATTTCATCTCGACGGATAGGGCCCTATCCGAACGTAACGCTGCTCGCGGAGAACTCGTTGAGAGTATCAAACGCTCAAGTGGCAGCGCAAATTGTATTTCCGATTGAAGCGAGGCGAGCGAGCGCGGAAGCAAGCGAGCGAAACTCGTAGTTTCCAACGACATCCCGGCAAGGCCGATAGACGACCGTAGTCGCTACTATTTTGATTTACACGTTCGAACGCACCCGCTTCTGAATCGGATCCGGACAGATATACTCCGGCAACATTGATTCGGGACAATGCGGATCTCCATCTACATCGATATAAACCAACAAGCCAAGCAACACTTCGATGGACACGGCTTCGAGGGAGGAGGAAAGGTCTCACTGCGAAAAGTGAAACCGCCCGACAACGCCGTGGCGAACATAAGGTGTCCGTCCGCCCGGGCTTCGGCCGCCGAACCCGGAAGGAAGTCCGCGTCGCAGCTGAGCTTCACCGATACCAGCCACAGTCACGGAGTGGGACTTTCTCTGTTTCCTCGAGCTCAATTTTCTCTCAACCCACAGGTTTTCTACAGATCTTGAGATTACGGTGAATCGCCACGGAACGAAACGATACCCGAGGATTTGAGCGATGAGCCAGTCGGGGGGACGACTCCGTACACACTCGCTCGATCGTCGGCGTCAGGGTGGAGAGAGGAGCCGAAATTCAACTCCGCAGACTCGGGACGGAGCGGAATCGAGGACTTCGGGGACTTGGCAGCAATCATTGAGTCAAATGAAGCAAGCAAACGGTGTTCAGGAAATGATCATCGGAGCCCCCCGAGATAAGAATGGCATGACACAGATCCGCACCAGTGTTGATGGAACCGTCAGGGATGATTCGACGCGTCTCGGAAGATTCCTCCTCCGAACAGCTCCGACGGCGCAATGTCCGGATGGCCCCGGAGCTCCCGAGGAACGCTCGAACAACTGCTCGGAACAACTGAGAGCGAAACCGCGTAAGTTTTGTTCGCGTGCCACATGAGCGCGTGCATGATTCTGACGCCGAGGCCGTACCGTTCCAAGCTAGGCTGCCGATCCCTTGGCGGCTTTGGCTCGAAAAAGGAAATCTCCCGGAAAGGAGCCGCTTCGATAGGTTCGAAACGAACTTGCGCGGCTGCCGCGTTGTCACCACTCCATTCCGGTTGGCTTGAATCCTCTTCGGAGAGCGAAAAGTGAAAGAAAGAAAAGAAGAAAGAAATGAGGAAGTATCGCGGGAAAATAAGGGAGAGGGAACAAGCCTCAAGGCCATTGACCACGCTCCAGAGAATGACTATCTGACAATGGGAAGAACGATTGGGCGAGCCAGGCTGCGGGACGATGGACGGAAGGATGCGAGAAACTGAGTGAGTCTCCGGCACTATCGAAGAACGCATGGAGACCCGAGATCAGGGAGGGGACGAGAGGCATCAGGACTGCGAGGGGAAGTACAACAGGGACGAGAATATGGATTGCGAGTGATCACTAACGTTCTGCGAAGAACCTAGGAGCTCCGAGGAAAAAGCAGCCTTTCACCACAAGGAAAAAATCTCTCGTCCGCCTCGCCTGTCATGAAAGTTGTGTAGCATTAGCCGTTATGTCTCTCGCTGGGAAGAATATCAATCTTTCCGACCCATTTCTTTTCCCCAAACGTTCCGAGAGCTTCGTATTTTTCTCTCTCCTTCAATCAAACCCCGTGATGAAATCCGGAAGGATATGTATTTCGCTAATTTTCCAAAGAGCTCCCGAGCAGAGGTTTTATCAGGAGCTCCGCCAGGCTCTATGTTAGGCTCCCCATCTAGAGGTTCCGCTCGTAGGAACACGTTCCTGGAAATTCCAGATCCGCTATATAGTGCTCGGCTCTCCCAGGCTGTAGCATTTCAGCGCCTCCGTCCGCTTGTTGCGCGGTCTGGTCCATTTTCTAATGGAACATGAAACGTTTTACGACGAGCAGAACAGCAATGAAACTCATAACTACACGAGCTTTGTGGTAGATTAAGAACAAGTATAAAGCCATAGGAAAAATACTTTCGTCGGCATCCTGCACTTCGGTTTTCCGCTGTCGGCGCCTCGTCTCTCGGCTCCTGCGCTGCGCACGACTACATTTTATGTACCGAGTATAACTTTCTTACTCTTAGGAGTGGGTTTCATGGGTTGGATGTAACATGTAACGTGCATTTCTCCTCACAACATCAATAGGCCATACCGCGGTGAGTCCCTCCTCTTCCTTCTCCCTCCGGCCTGTCATCACTCTGTTCCACCTCCTGCAGTCTCTTTGTGGGAACGGTCGCAGATCGCGAGTCGGTCAGGTCTCCCCGTGGTCAGCAGTACATGTCATGTAGCGGTACGATATCCGTACTACATTGTATCCGATTGGGAGCGGAGCGAAGTGAACAATATGGGAATGGGGGGGAAGTAGCCGGGAAGATTCCACCCTCGAAGACGGATCGCTCCTCGAAGTGAATCAGTCAATCCAACGAAGCTTTCCATCAAGGGTCTAGGCTCAGCTGCTCGGAGCCGCCTTCGAAGTGAAATTCATTTCACTCGATGTACCGGAGGCGGGCTGTAAATCACGCCCGTAATTTGACGAAGGCTCGGCTAATCCGCGACAATAATCCGCTTATCGCCACCGCGTGCCGTGCCGTCGCGCCGCTGCCGCACCATCAGCCTGAACGCGTTGACGGGGTGTAGATCCGGAGAACTCGGCTCAACTCCGTTGGTTTAGGGATTCTCTGAACTCGGGGAATTCTGTGTGATCTCAAGTATGTAAGCGAGCAGACCGGTGGACCTACTCACCCGGGGTGAGCTCGAAAATCTGTGGCAGGATGTTTTGTCGCACGGAGCACATTTCACCCAGCTGACAAATACACCATATGATATGGGAGATGACTAATAATAGTAATCGAAGGCATGGAATGGCTTGCTCATGGAGATCAAGGGCCTTGCGCGAAAATCACGGAGCCAAGGTTTTGCTTCACTCACTATCAAGAAATTTGTTGAGGACTCAGGGCGAGCATCTACATATACGAGTGTAGCTCGAAGCAAGGCTCGGAGGGGTCAGATGTCAGATTCGACTGGAGGGGTCGGACGTTCCGGGACGGACTCATTCGTCGTCAGCCGTCAGGAATGAAGTGTGTCCTGTCCACTGTATTCCCGAGAAAAATTCTGGATTCGAAAAATTCTGCGGCGAATCGCCCGAGACTCGAGGCCTTCTGGACTGGCCCGCTCAATATCTTCGAGCAAAGTGAATTCCAGCCCGCCAAAATTTTTCGTGAGCCTCACTGTGGCCGAACAAGAGGTAGAAACGATCAGCCCTTTCTCGAGTTTGAGATACTCACATTTCACAGACAGAGCGATCGCGACGGTTGCCGATGGACCGACGGTGTTACTCGCTTCACAGATATACTGGCCTTGATCTGAACGCTCCACCGAGAGAATGGTCAGCGAACCGTTCTCAAGGACATGAATGCGCGGGCTGGAGGCGATGGATTGGAAATCGTCACCTGGAATGGAAACAAAGACGGTAAGAGGTTGCTTGGGGGGTCTCTCTTCTTCCTTCAAGTCTCTTCGATGCTTCGTTGGAGAGCCCGGCATTTTAGAGCTCTGGTTTCGCTCCCGTCCGCTCCCTGTCCATGTGGCTCATTTGCTGCTCCGTCTTCTGGATCCTTTGCGCGACACGATTCGATCGGAGGAGATCAACCCGATGGATATTCCGGTCCGACGTTCTCAATAATAATCGACATTAATTCACGTGCTCAATGATAATCGACATCATTTCACGACGTTGTCGGGGCTTTTCGAATATCTTTTCCATTTTTCGCGTCGACGAGAAGTATATGCTTTGCGCTCTCGCGAAAGCCATTCTGATTTCGCAGGAGAGGCAGAATTCGCACCACTCGACGGAATTCGATCGATTTTGAGGAGAACTATCCCCGTAAATGGAGAAACTCCGCTCGTGATCGCTCGAGACACGCGAACATCCACCGGACGTGGGTGTAAATTTTCAGCCTCGCTCACGAGTTGATTCAAATTTCCAACGTCTCCGTGCGATTCCCTTTTTCCAATCAATCTCTCTGTTAGCTCTTCCGTGCGTTCATTTCCTCTTCTCCTCACTCTTCCATTCTGTCAGAAACATCGGGACGGAGACGTTCGCCCTTGGGAGCCAGCCGGCACGCGCTCGAGCAGGCAGGCCGGTTGTCGGTGCAGGAAAAGGCTTGGAAAGAATTTGCTGAGTTGCTAATTCGCTTTGTGTGTCTGGGCCATTGTCGTGAGAATCTCGCCATCCAGTCAGCCAACCAGTCACCCAGCGAGCGAGCCAGCCAGCCAGCGAACGAACGAACGACCCAGAGATTGGACGAGAGTACGGAAGAACCAACGGATGAACGACGCGAGCCGAGAGCCAGTGAGATAGAAAAGATAAAACAACGAAAAAATACCGCGAGACAGAAACTCATTGAGAGAGACCTGCAGTCGTTGACGGGACAATGCGGTGCCGCTTTCTTTTTGCTGAGCAGCACCCGGGCGGGGTGACCCGGGTGCGAGCTCCGACGGAACGGAGAGCTCTACCGAGAGCTGATTTGTCGGTATGCCGAAAAGCGGGACAGATCCGGTGCCGAGCGATTGGCAGAACCGCCCCGCAGGCCGAGACTAAAAAAACTATTTCAATCGATGCCTGTAGGCCGAAGGGTGAGCATGCGGGAAGGCATTGTTGTGGCAGTTGCCGCGTTTTCTCCCTCCCTGAGCCCATTACGACGTGTACTTGAACAACTAAGAAAAAAAAATCTGACTATGAATTTATTCAATTGAAGATTCGGCTACACCCTCAGGACTTCGATCTCCGTGAATTTATCGAGGATTCGTGCATTCGATCGTCAATTCGTGGTCCCTCGTAGTCTGAATTCTGAATTTAGTATTCGGACTGTGTCCGACGTCGAGCGGGCGAGATACTGTATCGGCGAGTGGAAGTTCAAGAACCCAGAGGGCTGGAGGGAATTCTCCAGATCAGAAATCATCGACGGCGCGACTTGTGCCTGATTCAGTCGAACCAACGGAGTGAATAATTCGTTCTGTCCAGCCTTGAACAAACCTTGTAGAAACGTGCGGCCGCTCTCGGACAATAGAATGAACAGTTGGAAATCGGAAATCAATTTCCTCTTTTTTCGCTTCCTCCCCTCAGTGTTCGGATAGCGGTGGGACCACTGATTCGGAGTAGCAGAGTCTGGTGACTCGATGGAGTTTGACATTTCCCGAAATTGGGATTGAGCCATGACCGCGTATTTTTTGAAACACGAACTCGCATGGAGTGCGAGGAATACACAAATGTCACTCGAGAAGAGTGACTCGGATTGAACGACGAGATGGACTTTGAAATGCCGTCCATTATTCCACAGGTTCCTCCAAGCAGGGACGCTGTGAGTAAATGCGAGACTTTCATGGCGTTCCAAGCGTCACTTCTCCCCCGACCTGACCAACTGTTCTATTTCCCTGGTTGCCCAGATACCCGCGGGCGATTTCGATTCGAAATCACTTCCAATCTGTGCTCCGACCAAGAAGTGCGCCGAGAAGACATTTATCCGAGGCAGGGAAAGAGAGGTGAGAGCCAACGTGGAAGTAACATCGTCATTCGAGTACATTGACCACGATGGAAATCGGACGATTTTCAAATCGTCCACGTTGGGGGTATAGGGGTGGGGTGCAAAACGCTTTAGGGGAATCGTGAGCCAATTGAACGCTTCGGAAAGTCAAATGAAGTCGGCTGGACCTATGGGAATCAATATTGAAATGCCATCTGAAGTCGCATCAAGCTTTTTCCCGCCACCGCTGCCTTCCGCGTTCTCCCTCCTTGTCCCGGCTCCTCCCTTAGTCGACGCGTCCACCCTCGATTCCCCGCAATGTGGTGAATTCCTCCAGGGTCCTTCCTCGAATCCTATCGCACCGAGAGACTTCCCTCCACGACTCTTCTCGCGACCCTCTCTGACGTCCCTCCCCCCAGTCTCCCATCTAATCCGGGATCGCCCCTGGCATTGAAATTCATGAGACTCAGGAGCAGAGACCTGGCGACTTGTTCGAACGATTGCCGATCTACGGCGACCGTTCGATGTTCGGAGCTTTACGCCCTTGGGAAGAAAAGTAGGTAGTCGACGGCCCCACAAGACCTACGAGCGGCTACGATTGATTGGTCGCCAAGAAACGCATTTTCGTGGATCTTTACTTCTGCTTGCCTCCCGTTGCTGCCCGAAGACATACGAATAAATCGTATGGAAATTGGCTCTTCTGCCAGACCCTTGTTCGCGCGCCGTTCTTCCTCTCTCCCCCTCCATTCACCTCATCCTTGGCTGTCTGCTCGACTTTCTATGAACACACTTCGGGCAGCTGCAGAATCGAACAAGCTCCACCTAAGAAGGATGCTCCCGGCCGTTACACTTTCGGCGATCCGAATCGGGCCGACTTTGTGGATTGAGTCGGAAACGTGTGGGTATACAACAGACGAGGTTGAGAAAGAGGGCGGCCACCGGATGGGGGAGCAGGGGTGGGGTGAACCTTAGGAGGACGGAGGGAGGAAGCGCGCGGGCGAGAGAAACTTCAATCGCAATTCCTGCGCGTGTATCCCCTGCTCCCCTCTCTATAAAACGGCTCAGTGGCTACGATCGACGGATCCGTCGGCGCTGCAGCGGCGGCAGAGTCTCGATACTGACTGACTTCCGTTTCTTTTGTCTATTCGGCGGCATCGACGGCGCATTCGGAACAGTTGGGACGCGTAAAAAAAGAAGAGGAAAAGAAGAGGGAGAATAAGAGAGGGGAAACGAGATGTTGTGTGCGATCGAATTGATACAAACTCGACTGAGCAGCGCAGCTTTCGAACAAAGACAACTCAAAGCATACGGATCAACCAACTTCAAGTGCTGCCAAGCAGCGATGCAGCCATACGTATACTAGTGGTGTTCGATCGAGCAATTCATTGATCGGAAAATTTTTCTCCTTGGTTTGTCTCGGAACAACAACGTCGGCTCCGAAGTCAAAAAGGGCTCTGGACCCCTTCTCTCCCTTTCCCCCCTCGAACCACGACTGCACCTGCTATGTTTCGAAATCGAATCATATGGCTCGAGAACCTTGCCTTTCCAAAGGGAAGAACACGATATTCGAACCCTAAATCACTCGGCTCCAAAGTTTTTCCTCCATGGTGGAGAGAGAGAGAGACGTAGGAAAAAGAGGGATGCGCCCCTCTCTCCTCGGTTCTCCCTCAACCACGACCTTGTTCTTCATCTCTTTCAATAGCACTGCCGGGGATAAACGGGAAGCTGGGCAATGGACGCTATCAGATCTCAGACCGGAAAGAGACCTCCTCGGCAAGAATAAGGATGAGCTGCGACCCATGGAGGAGGAGGAAGAAACTCTCAACTCAAATGGCTGTTGAGATAACTGGGAGCTACACATATGGGGGCTCAAGGTTAACGCAGCAGGCTTCTGAACGAATTCCAAGACCCCACGTTGTTTTCTATCCCATCTGCTTTCTATCCTCTTCGCAAAGCGAACCGGGGAAAAACGCGCTGAGAGCAACATAGCCAGCTGGACGATGTTGTTTTCAAGTTCGAAACATCTGTGTGTTTCCTTGGGACCTGTATTCTGCACGAGAGGGAAAAAGAGAACACACAAACTAGAACTACGTTCGACCGAGTTGAATTGGTGCGACTCATGGTACAGGCCTTTGGGAAAATTCCGCAACCACAGAACGAGCGAAATTCTTCATAATTTCGGGACAGATCCGCCGTCGGAGGACCTCCGTCGACCCAGACTGAGATCATTCTCGAATGATTGTAGCTCGTGGGAGGGTCCGCACCCTCACCATTGAAGCTTTCCTCTGGCGCGAGGAATGAGATGAGGTCGGCAAAAATAAATTCTCCTAGAGTCCAACGGCTGCCGACTATGGACGAAATAATGTATTTCTCGATCTGTCCCGCAGCTCAATCGGAGAGTAGTGAGGAGGGACTTCATTTCCAAGAGAAAAGATCGGGAGCTCCAAGTGACCGCCAGATTGCCCTTGAGTCTCTTATGTTACAGGTTTTTGTGGTGGGAGCGGCTACCGAGTATAGTGGCTTGCGTCTTCAAAAGTTCCCCGTCACACAGAGGAGAGTTCTCTCTTGCGGGAGGGAAAAAAGTAAGGGAGGAAGAGACCGAGACGACAAACAGCGGAAGAGAGAGGAATAAAGTTGTTGCGATTCAACTTTGTAGCGAGCTTGAAGCTGACTTTGAAAGGGAAATTGTCTGACGGCAACTCCGAGCCAAGGTTACAACAAACATGAATTTTTTTCCGAAGGTGACATCTCGAAAGTTTTCGCGGCGAGTCCGAGCATGACGCCCCGCCTCTGGAGGGTTGCCCCGGTAGAGGATGTCGCTTGAAACCCGCCGGAATTCTTGATCGGAAATAATTGACTAGGGAAGTCTAATTCCATGTGGATGTACTCGCGGGGTCAACTTTAACAAGTTCCGTCGTTCTCGCCGCAGCCGCCATCTCCGCCTCGAATCTTCGGGAATTCTTTGGGGAGACTCAAGACGGCTGCGCTATTAATACGATCGAAGCACGGGGTTCCCGCCACGGTTTATGAACGTCAAGGCTTTCCCCCATGTCAACTTCCCGCCATGGTGGATGGAGGTTTAATAGACGAGAGCTTCTCAATTTCGGGGCTAAGGTAAGCAAGCTAGCTGGCTGGCTGGCTCGCCCGCTCGCCGATCTCTGAAACCTTTCTCCGGTCAGTAGCATACGTTCCCTGGGGCGCCAAATTTCAATATCCGTACCGTTCGTGGGTTGCCCGCTTCATTCGTTCGTTCGTGTTTTCCGTCGATCAAAATCCACAGGGCAAGCCCTCAGCGAGCTGACAGACGGCTCCCCTCTCTCGACGACAGGGTGCAAGGTCGTGGGGTGAGAATCTAGGAAGGTACGGGAATCTCGGCTCGACAGGAATTCGTGGAGAATGAGCGCTTCTTATGGAAATCGGCGACTCCGAACGGAACGAATCGGGGAGCCCAGAGAAGAGTTCCTCGAACTCTCGCGCTCTCCGACGAGACGTATCGGCAAATGTTTTTTCCATGATTCATCTTCTACGGAACGCTCTCGTCGACTCGTTCGTCCGCCGGACCGTTATATACTACGCGCCCAATCGGTGCGGTGAGTCGATGGGCCAGAGTGACCGGCGGAGAGTTCGGGAAGAATGTTCGGATAGCGTTGCAGAGATGCCGAGTAACAGAAAACCTACAACATAAAAATGGGCAACGCAGGATAGATAGATAGACTCAAGGATTTATTGCTCGTCCCCATCAGTAGAGCATCATCAACATCACTGGTGCCCGGTACCGTCCTCGGCCAGCATTCCAAATCGAAGTGCTGAGGTTCGTTCCGAGAACGACCCGTTGCCGCTCCCATACTTTCAATCAGACATTTCCTTTCGATTCCTCGCGTGTTTCCCCCCCTTCCGGAGAGGCGGGAGGAGGGGAAACACGCGATAGAGGGAACGACAAAGAAAATCGGAACCCAGTATTCGTCATCGACGACGTGGCACCGTTTGAGTAGATTGAGTACTCAGTGGGGGCCAAGTGTTTCTCTGCTGCGATATTACCAGCGCTTAAAGCTGGTTCGGTGCGTGCGGTGGCCGCTTGCAAATGGCGGCGCCAAGTCGCTCCAATGAAGCAATTCCCGCGCTACCGCTGCGAGGTGCATTCAGTGCTTATGCAGGATTGGAATCGTCCCGTCGTTGTCGCCGGCGTCGTTGCGGTTGCCGTGTCAAAGTGCTCCATCAGCACCCTGCAGGTGGCCGTTAGTGGTCGGAACGGCCCGCTAACCAGTGTGCAAGGAGCAGCAGCAGCAGCCAACCCGCTGTTCCACAATGCATTGCTTGAAAGCGGTGCGCCGGCGACGCAGCATGCCATCTCCTTCGGGTTCCTTGCCCGGCCATCCGTCGGAGCGAGCGCCCACCAAACTGCTCGGGATGGTACTGGTGGCTGCGGAGGCTGCATTAAGCTCCGCCACGGTCATCCGTCTTAGGCGTTTAGGGACGGCGAAGTATAATCAGGATCAACACGACTATGACGCCAACATGAAACGCCGGCGTGAAACTCTCCTATGGGAGCATCATCGACTACGAGCGAACCGACACCGAACATCCGACCGGCGACGTCGACCAATGGATGGACGAGGAGCGGATGGACGATGCGCTCACGGACGGACACCACCACGCACACGGGTTTGCGGCCACGCGAGCCTCTCTGGTCGAGGACGGAGATAGCTCCTCCATTGTCGCCCGTTGCATACGCTCTGTCCACGCGGAAGCGTACGCTTTGGCTGGGCAAACGCACGCGCATTACGTTGCCGCCGCAATAAACGCCAAGCCCTGCCCGAACGCCCCATACGAGCGCATTGAGTGAAACGAGGCGACGCTGAGGCTTCGGCAAGCAGCAACAGGGTCGCACATCAGCGCAACGCTCGTATACGAGTCGCTGCGTTGGATGCGGGGCAGGCGGAGAAGGGAGAAAAAGAAGAAGCGGGAGAGAGGGAGGCGGAAGTCAAAAAGTTGTGGCCTGCCCGATTCAGCCGAGTCATCAGAGTTCCGAAACCGCAGCAGCAGCAGCACCAACAACAACTGCATTCAAGGAGGGCGCGAGCACAAAACCTCTTTAACACAGTTTTGCCTCAACACACTGTCAGTGACCTTGATTACATGGGGCGGACCGTCAGGCTCCGAATCCGACCTTCTTTGTCCTCGAGAGAATCGCGGAGGATTCCGGGGAACGTAGGAATCGATCGCAACAATCGGAAGATGAAGAATTATTGCAGATCGCAGCCCATATGTTAGAAACCCGAAGGATGCGAAGTCTTTCTGGACGCGGCTGGCTGTTGCGGTTACCGGGACGCGTTAGCGCTATTAAGCTAACAACACCGCTATGTTTTTAGAAGCAGCACTCGATACTCCCAATCGCTGCGCTAATTGCAATTAACGTTCCAAGTTGTTCCAACGGGTTCGCCTACAGAGAATGTTCTCTGCAAATCGGGACTGATGACCGTTCGTTGCCGCACAGCTCCGGATCGATTGAGAAAAATTGTGACCTGTTGTCGCTCGATTCTTCATAAATACGATACACCTGTTGTGGTCGTTCGTTCGTTCCCTCGGTCGCGCCGGTCGTTGTCGCAGCCACCGAGGAGGGAAAGACGGAGGGAGCTCGAGGCGACCGGAGTTCGCCAAGGGGAGTTAACCCATACGACGGAAATCTTTCGGAGCGAACGAACGGGAGAGCGAACAGGAAAGGCTCAGGAAGAAAGCAGCCTCCGGTGGAGAAAAGCATTTGTCATTCATACCTTTCGCAACTTTCCATCGAATCACCGGCTGAGGTTCACCGTCGGCCCGACAGTCGAACCTCACAGCTGATCCGACAATCACTGTTTTGTCTTCGGGCTTGATACTCCACGAGGGGGTGCTGAAATCCGTAAAGGTCGAGAGTTAGCAATTTATTCGATCGCCCGCGCATATCCAAATTCCTCACTGGAAATTTTCCCCAGAACCTAATTACAATCCACGCGATCCATTGTGAGCTATGGGGAGAGGAAGGTGGGGGAGGGGGGGGCAAGTCGATGCCCAGACGTGAGACGCAGGAATCATGGGTCGAGAAAAGGCTGAGGGGACAATGTGAGCAGGTGCCGCTCCCTGCTGCGGATCCGGAACAGAATCACCGAGGTGCCTGACTTGTGAACACACATTGGATGCATACTGATGCACCACGAAACCGCGCTTTCCCTCTTACTGACTTCTCGACAATGAGCTTATCGTCCTTTCCCGAACAGCAAACAAACTTAAGGACAAAGAGGCTCACAGACAGCTCGTCCCACAAACGAACGATAGACCTACGAGGAGATTTATAGATAGGAGAGCACATGACGTCAGAGGTAAGAATCGGCATTGAAATGGGCTTGTTGTCCACCGACAAAGCCACCAATCACCCTCGGCACGCAAGCATCGAGCTCGACTGACTCTGCTTTCCGTCCGCATCGTCGTCTTCTTCTTCTCCTGCTCCCTCTAATGAAGCTAATGACGCAACTAGGCTGTGAGTATAGCGAGCGCAGACGGATATCCACGTCCAAGGGCAGCTTGCATGACTTCTCTGGCAGGTGGAAACCGAAAAGAGGAAACAACCGACGAGTAGATGAGAGGGATCAGACGGGGAAGAGCTTGTCCCGCCAGAAGACACCCCCAGACTCGGTCTGTCGAGAGACTCGTTCCAACGAATAGCTCCCCCGCGGGTAGCTTGAGATCCCCACGCGCCACTCAGGAGAATATATCGAGCTCGAATTAACAGTAAACGAAGCTCCTCCTCACGGAGCCCCTTTTCTTCTAGCGATACCCTCGCCGAAGACAGCCATTGGGTTTCGGCCATTCACGCTGTATCACCGCGAGCGATTCAGAAACCCGGGTCGTACGAGACGTGAGATCGATTGTAATTATTATAGTTCAAGTTGCGAAACCGGGTTCACCGGGCGTCCGATTAAGAGCTCTCAGGAGAGACGGAGGTCTTGCGCACGCTCTCTCCGCGCGGCGACCGTCGGTACGCTTGCCGCTGGCTCCGTGGAGGAGGAATCATCCACGGAATGGGTTGAAGTTAGAGTTCCGTTCCCTCTGTCATTTCGCCCGCCCAACGTTTTCGTAGAATGGAGACTTTCGAACATTGCCCTTCGACGAAAAGAGCGGCCGATCGCGCTGAATCAAGCGGACCAGGGGAGAGCGATTCGTCGCTTGGGCATCATTCTTGAGGTCGCCGGGTTACTATCTGAGGCATTTTCTTCCGGGATCGGCCTCACGTGAGTTTCCCTCCCTGAATAGGAATAAATTTTTAGCTGACCTAGGCCTGAAGGCCGATCAGGGATGACCGCAGCGATGGCCTGACTCGGTGGGCCTGGTCAACGACTACTTGATGAGCACTGTGTCGAAGCATCTCTTTTTATCTTGCGTCAGGAAGCCAGCCACGGATAGATGGGTAGATGGATTGGAGACCGACAAGGGATAGGGGAACAGATAGATGGCCAAAAAATAACTGAGGGGAGCCGCAGCGAAAGAGAACGAGGCCCGTCAGGGTGAAGTCTAGCCCGAGAAGAGCGATGCCGACCCTCGTGAAATAGTTTTCCACTTTTTGACGGATGGCCCACATGAGCCGAAGAAAAGGGCGCTCACTCTTTTTTTTGTCCTTTTCTCCTCACCGCTCGCGCGTCTCATCGCTGCAGCTGCGGTCCTGAACCCTTTGGCCGAGCGAGCCTTAGCGGACACGGGGCCTCGAGGAGACAGTTGCGAGACTGCGTAACGCTTGCGAGACGGGATCTAGAGGTCAGCTGATACGATAAGCAAGGACATCGTTCGATGTCTATAATAAGACTATCGAGAGAGGCCTCAAGAACGATCTCTGAACGGGTCGCTCGGCAGAAACGTGCTTCGCAAGATAGATAGTTGGATAGGGGAGTAGCGAGCGACGTCGGGCGAGCGAGTGGAGCAGCGAAAAACACAGTCCACGCCAACGAGTGAGCCAGGACGAAAAGAGGGAGTGTACTCCGTTGAATGCAACACCTGCTTCGGGCGATGATCGCTCGAACAATCGGCCCTGCGGTCCGCGTCATTGAAATTGAGAGCGAATGAGCTCACTCCCACAGCAGCAGACGAGAAGAAATTATCGAAGAGGATCGGCGCTGATCGTCAGGTGGAAGGTGTACGCCAAATGTTCTGGAAGTACAGTGATGGGGAGGGAACGCAAGCCCCGGATCCTCCATGCATCGCAGAACGACTTCTCGGGCTCTACGAACTCGCAGCCGACCCTACCGATTCGCAGACGTGTACGCTGAGACTTTTACAATTTGAGAGAAAGCGCAGGGGAAACTTTCCAAGATACGGGAACACTCGACCCGTGCCTGAGATACCGCAAATTATTCTAATCGACCGACGAGATCATCGAATCGACTCATTGAGTGACAGCCGGCGGAACAGTCTCGGTGGCGATTGGTTTGCTCAACCCGTGATCCGAAAAAAAAACGACCTAATAGGATCAGGGCATTGCAAAGCCTTCGCTGGATCTACCGCATCAACAGCCGCGCGTCTCTATGGGCTCGTATTGAGAAGCTTAGAGCAAACTGCCTTTCATCTTATTATCTCTGTATTTTCCCCTCACCTTCCACCTTTATCCCTCGTTTCCCATTCTTCTGTTTCTCCGCTTCAAAATATTCCGACGGAGAGCCCCAGGGAAAGCCATCGGGAAGAAACCTTCGCCTCCAAAAGCGAGCGATCCGCTTAATACATGGCTCGCCAAGATCACCGAGCCACACCGAAATATGCTCTGGAGCGAACGATGGAGAGGCTAATGGTCGGGGAATCGATCTCCGAGTAGGAATCAAAATCGATACCGTGCATGCGGAAAACTCCGGGAGAACAAGTGGGAGAGGGGCTCCAGAGATTAGTCGAACGAACGAAACAGAACCCCGGACAGATTGATCCAGCGATCGATTCATTGTTGGTATGACTTAGCGCGATAGCGTCCATATAAAAGTCGGACGGACTGTGGAGAGCGCTTCCGAGCATGAATAAAAATTTCGAAAGTCCTGGTTTTCGGTAACAAATGATCGGAATGCAGAAAACTCTCCGAATCATCAATGAAGCTCTGGCTCAAACATCGTCAGCCGAGCTGATGATTTTTATTAACGGCGACATCGCACGCAGAACCTTCGTCTGGAGAGTGAACTCCGAGGGAGAAATGAAAAGGCCACGAGAAATGACGGGGGGTACATCGGGGCCCGCCGGGACCTCTCGAGGGAGATTTCCCCCCAATAGAAAAGGGGCCGGCTAGGGGCAGTCTCAGAAAGCGGGGCAGGTGGCACAGGAGACGCTCAGCCATCTGCTTCTCTTCACCGCTGCCGCGCCGTCGTCGTCCTCGCCGCCGCCGCCACAGCCATCGCCTAAAGATCGACTAAGAGTCTTCCATCTCGTGATGCTAGGCTCCATTAGGGCGTTCTTGAAGTCCGTCGCTGGCTTCCAAGATCTCTCTCCGATGGAGGAGAAACATTTTTATACACAGCCGTGTGCATATGAGAGTGTCCCCCGACTTATGAGGAATGTGTGTCGTGTCCGAGGCATCCTCACTACTCGGCACTTATGCGCGCACCGTCGTGAGGATTAGTTGAAAACTTTCGGCATTGAGCGGACCGAGAGTTCATCGAGCAGTCTACGAGGAATTCTCGGCTCAATATTGGGGCTGCGCGTAATCTCTTGGAAACACTCGTCATCGTGACGTCCTCCTTGGTGACCTCGAACATCGCCCGGGGCAAACGTCTTAGTTTGGGACAATGATTCCCTTCCACTGATTTCCGCGTCGAGGAATACCGGGAGCAATGTTTGGCACTACTCGGGACTCCGTACTACGGTCTCGGGAAAGTTTCATATTGGAAATCCCTCTTGACAAAGCATCGACTTCGTACATCGAAGCCATTCACCACATTTCCGGAGGGCTAAACCTCAAAACAACGAGGGTATGCTCTTCGGAGGAGGAACAGTTGCAAATATTCAGACTTGCTCTCCACTGGGCCGAGGACTAGAATTATTTTCGACCAATACACTTCACACGTTTCTGTTGGAGGGAAGCCACTCCTACAGCAGACTTGTTGATCGCATGCTCCTCGATAGTGGAGCATGTGGGCTTTGCCGCCCCTCGGATGACGTCCGGGCTCACAGCGTGAACCCCGTTGACGCCATACCGTCGCTCCGAAACCCGGCGAAATCGAACGTCTTTTGCGGGAGTACTGGGTTTACCACGAGTCTCGTCGCAACATACGCGCTCCAATCACTGACGTCGTCCGAATAGCCTGCTGTTCCGATGCTCGGGTTTGGGTATGAACTCACCGAGTACGACGAGAGGTGCCGTGTAGTTGCTTACAGCTGCAATATTTGTTGCGGTGCACGTGTAGTTCCCGGAGTGCGACCTCTCAACGTTTTCAATGATGAGAGTGGATACAAAGTCACTCAGAGGCAGAGTCTGCACGCCCTGTCGGATAAATATTATTTTGGTGTCAATGTCTGAAACTTCCACAGGGAAGACGGACCTTCCAGTTATTTCATGCTCAATCGAATGTCAGCGATCTCACCTTGTATCCGATTAGTGGACGACCGTCTTTCTGCCACGAGATCACTATGGGCGAGTCGCCTTCGACGATTGCACAGGTGACCGTGGCCCGATGACCGGCTTGCATTTTGGAGGGAAACACGAAAGGAGCCAATTTCGGTGGAACTGCAAGAGAATGACGATCGAGATTAGCGAGTGGTTTTTCTTCCTGCAACGCCGATACGGATACTGGATCTCGGTTCTAAATCCGGATCCGATTCCCTGTACTCGGTTCAACTCCGAGAGGGATCACGGTGTCATCACAATTTTCCCGCTGAAAACACCCAATGAACGAACTCAAAGTCGGGGAAATGTTTCTCTTCCTCCTGCGCAGCGGAGGGAAGGAGTTCAAGGGTCGTAGTCCTCATTCCAGAGAATGTGGATTACTCGAGGGAAAGCCACGGCGTCTCACTTTGAAAGAAAGGACGAAAACGCAGAAAAAAGCAGAAGAAAAACGAAAAGCTGATTAGCGTAATAGGATGAGGTAGACGAATCCTGTCTTCTCCCGGAGCCCGCTGCGAGCTCCCGTGTCGAGATGGCCCGGGGTCGCGAACCACTTCGGAGTTCACGGTGGAACAGGAGGCGGCGAGCGAAAAATTGAAATAGAAAATAGAGGGAATCGGAGGATGCCGCGTGTGCGCTCGTTCGTTCGTTCGTCTCTCCGTCTATCTACTCGACGGACCGTGCCTACGTTGAACGAGATGTCTCTAAAACTGCAAAACTGGCTCCGAGCCAAACGGGGGCCACGTGGATTCTCGGGAAAGAATCGCGACGCTGATCGCAATCTTTCTGGTTGCTTTGGTAGCGAGTTGAGATCGTATTTGGCCGAGAAGGAAAAAAGACTCGTTCGAGTGGACCAGATTCGAGCCTGAGCCAATGCGCTCAGCTCTCTCAACACAATTCCAATCTCCTCCTGCGACGACGCATTTAGAGGCGAAATTTAATAAGGTCAACGGCGCAAGTAGTTTCCCGAGGGATTTCCGAAGATGATGACTCCTAATTATTGATGAATGATGAATTCGAAAATGATTACTCCAAAGGTGGAAAGAACCCTTCCGAATGCTGCGATATTCCTCCCCATAACCCTCGATTCGATGCAGGCTTTGTGTGGGCAATCCCTGCGGAGGACAATCTCGGGGACGGGATGGAAATTCAGAGGAAGTAGGGCATACTCGCGCATATCGATCCGGTACTTGACACGCATCGACGAGCTCTGAGTTCCGTGAAATCTTCAGCCGATTTTTCGATGATCAGACGTCCCGATCAGCGCGCAAGAAAAGCCACTTCTCCGGTCCAGATCCCGGGAAGGAATCGGAGAGGAACGAAATCAGAATAAGACGAGGTAAGGAATACATCGTGCAGATTTTCCGCGGCAGGCTTGCACGGGAAGCTAATGACGCGGCACGCTTGAACGTTCGGCAGCGGCGGCGGCAGCTCAGGAAGCAAGAAAGACAGCCAGAGCATTTAGGGAGCACCTCTGTGAGCTCATTCCGAGCGAGCAGCGAGCTAACCTGCATAGGGACCGCCGATCGGGAGACGAAACGATGCCGAGATTGACTCGCTTCCGACTGACTGCAGAGAAAGAGGGGGGAGCATCTCGAGTTGGTGGGAAAGCTTGCTCGGCACATTCCAACGGGGGGGAAAGCTCGGAATACGTTCACCTCTAAAAGAATGAAGGTCACACCCTAAGGAGCATTGCGAACGCCTCTCTGGATTCGGGGGGAGAACGAATTGATCGGACCAAGCGAGATACTTCACGGAAGAATTTGAGGGAGGTTATGTGGAGCTCAACTACTCGAATCCAAGACTTCGGAATCGGCGCACCAGGGAGGGGGAAAGCGGGAGTACAAGACGGCCGAGTTAGGAACGCTGATGAAAAATGATTTCCGCCAAAAATTAAAGCGCAGTTAGAACTCTTCGTCACTGCCGCCGATGCGGCTGCTGCTAAATGGTGGAAGGCTGCTCCCCTCACCCGTTCGACTGGTGGGCAGGAGGCAACGAGCGCAGCAAAACGGCGACAGGGGAAGGGGACAGGGAAAGGCGGCGACTCATCGATTTCGAATAAATTTGTTGCATTCACGTAGCATTGAAGCACGGAACGGAGGGAGCAGGCAACGCGTTCGATCGGCCATTCTTTCGCCTCGACGGAGGGAATCGGGTAGGAAGAGAAAGGAGTGACGGCCCGAAACGAGAGCGAAGAAATAGCGAAAAAGAGCAGGGGTAGGGGGTCGATTGAAGGACGGGACGGTTCGCATCGGGTGGAATGAGGGGACAGAGACCTAGCTGAAGGGCACCGATACCGATGAAGGAAGCGATGAAGGGCACGTCTGCGGGCAAGGCAGGGGCGTCCCCACGGTGTCAGCGAGTCATTGAAATAAGGGTGGCGAGGGGAGGAAGGACAAACTAGGAAATCCGAAAGCGAGTGCAGGTAGGCTGCTTTTTTTAATGGGAAAATCGATCCCGTCAAATTTCGCGCCTGCCAACCCGATTTTTAACCGAGTGAGCGGAAACATTCCCGCGCCGCTTTTTTTTCCGACGCGCTCTTTCCCGATCGGTCGTTTATCTATTCATTCGACTATCCGTGCGTTCAAAACCGCGTCGAAGTGCGCTCGGAATGCTTCAGCGTCCCGCCATCGTGTTGCGACTGGGAAAATGTTTGTCGAGCATTCCAGCCACTCATTCCGGCCTCGAAGGGAATTCCTCCGGGTTCGAGCGTCTGTCGGAATCTGAGGAGCAATCGGATCATCGTGGATTGGAGAAAAACTCCACAAGAATCTTTGAGGGTAATCCTGGATCCGAATGAGTCCAGAGTGCTTCGATATAGAGGAGAGTATCTCGCGAGCTCGCGGTTCACACTACCGGAACGTGTCGGCCACCTTTCGGTGCACCGAGCATACGAGAAGTGGCGAGTCCCTACCGGAGCATCTGCTGTAGTTTCGATCCGCAGAATCAGACTTGTCGAACTGGACAACTCGGTGTCGGCCGGTGTTTTTTCGTGGATTCCGTCCCTGTTCATCGAGGTTCTCCCGCGGCGGAAATGAGAAAAACGACAAGGGGAGAATATAGCTTCCGAGTTCCGCCGCTGCTGCCGCTAAGCTCCGGACAAAGACAAACTCGAGGAATCTGAGCGTGAGATCTAAATCCTTCACGTGTGCGAAGCGCTGCTCATGCCGTTGAACTTCGTTTCTCCCGACCACTCCAATCGTTCCCGGCTCACGAGCTTCTCACGTGCTGTTGCCGCTCATGAATTCCGCGTGTACGAGCTGGACGGTTAGTTCTCGTTCACATTACCCCTCTATGTCCCCCTGTACTGCGGCCTAATCAGCCCGCAGGTACGTATCCATTGCCAAGATCGAAGTCTTCCGAGGAACAAGGCAACTCAAATCGGCGGAGAAAAGCCGCTCCCTCCGTTCTTGAGCAGACTCCTATCGAAGTTCGCTGGAAATCCATCGAGAATTCTCATGCTGCCGCTGAACGGGAGTGAGCAGACGAAGATTATGAATTACGGGTGCAACACGGTGATATTCCAAGTTTGAGGTGAGATCTGTCAGGATACCGTGGGGAGTTCTCCTGGTTCTCTGTTCTCGCAACACAGCAGCAGCAGCAGCAAAAGAGTCAGCGGGGTAGCGGAAAACTCCGCCACCCTGAGAACGGCACAAAGCGAAAGTTGCTTCAGCTGGAATGGCGGAACTGTTTGGTAGGTTCCTTGCACGGGCGGGAGTCGGGGCGGGAGCTCGCACGGTGTGAGAGTTTCATTAATTTTTTAGCGCAATTCAGTTAGTGGGAAGCTCGGGAGTGGATTACACAGCGACGCGCTTGGGAAGAGATAGGGTTCGGCAAGAAAGAAAACTAAAGAGAAAGAAATTTACTCCTGTTATTTTGCGAGTGTGCAGCAGACGCAGGAGCGGCGCCGGTAGCGGTGCCGATGATTACACGCTCAAGCCGCGATAGGAATCCGACAAATCCGGGAGTATTCAGTTATAAGCTCCCGTGTCCCGGCAAGGCATCTGATGAGAACTCGGTGAGGTTCAATCTCGCTCGTACGCCGGAACCGATCGGGTCCAGAGTCATCTGCGCGCTACCCGCTCCTTCGAACTCGTCTGTAGCTACCATTAAGCGAGAAGTATCCCCCTCACTCCCCTGCTCTGACGAAGATGTCTCATGCGGGCTGAGAGAGATTTGGTCTCGCTTTCGCTAAGGTTTCCTGTTATGCCTCGAAGAAACTCACCGACTACGTGGACATAAACATCTCGTGTGAAAACCTCTCCTTGTGCTCCCTGCACGATGCATCTATAAAGACCCTGATCTTCACGACGCACGTCCTGAATTAGGAGGTGTCCTGCCCTGGGAAGCCGATGACGGCTTCCTATACGCAGGATACGGCCTTCTGGAATAAAAAGATTTTTGGTCAGAGCCTGTTCTGCATTTATTGTTCTATCGTTCTCGCTGAGACATTCTGGCTAGAAACACTTCGGATTCGAATGGCTCCCGTCTTTCCGGATGGTTCCCCGTGATCAGATGATTCCCTCCCTACAATAATTGCTCTGTCATCGCATTTAGGAGACCTCATCCTATGGCGGGGGAAAAGGGGGGCAGAGTCGAGGTCCTCCACGAGCTTTCTCCACGATATATCTTTTTCCAGCATCGGGGTGAAGGGGGGGGGGAAGTGGAAGAAACTCTGAGGAATGAAGAGGATCCAGCATAGATAAACAAGAATCGAACACTCTCGACGAGCGAATTCCGCAGGAGCGAACCTCGGAGCCGGACGGTGAGCACGGAGCCCTAGGTCATCAATTGAAGGCAATCAATCAATAAGAATGGCCAAGCTTCATGCTCTCCGGTCAAAGGACAAACATTTCACAGGGTCGATTTGGTCACAACCGCCGTCGCGGCCGAACCGACCAGTGACGCCCGGCCCCGCATCGCAGGAAGGGTTGGGTTTTGGTGGCCGGGTCTTAAAATCGACGGTTCCCCGTCCCGAGCGCCGCTTTTTCAGGCCTGCGAGGGTGCCCGTCCGATGGGTGTTTGAGGAACGACAGGGGGAGTGGACGGGGAGACGGAGGCGGAATGTCGACGGGGTCGTGGGAAGCAAAAAAAAAGACGGAGCCGGGTCGCCGCCGCCGACGACGACAACGGCACCACAAATTGATCAGCGGTCGGTTGTTTGGTTGGACGTCGACCGGTTGGTCGTTCGACCGACCTCTAAACGAACAGTCGGAATTGAAGAACTTTCAATAACACGCCGCTAGCCCCGACAGACGGGAAGGATTCGACCGCCGTTACAACAGGCTCGCTCGCTCGCTGCGGAGCGAGCCGGGAAACAGAGTCCTCATCGACGAATCGTTCCCGAAAACAAGCCGGAGAAACAAGGGGGAGAAAAGCCACGCATAAATCATGTCATCGTTGAACAAAACGACCGCGAAGAGCGGCGTTCCGTCGAAGATCGTCCCACCTGCACGAACAGAATTCTACGTAGACGCGGACAGAAGGAATTGTGGAAGCGCGAACGGAGAGGATGGATAACGGCAGAATGAATGGAGCCGACAATAGAAGCCCTCTCAATGAGTGGCAGATCGCATCGACGCGGCAGTCGCATTTGGAGCCCATCTCATGACGGAGGGACGAAAGCAAGATTCTGACACCGTTCATTCCTTCATCGTGCGTCCGGATGTCGTCCTTTCTGCCCGCGCACTAGCATAGAAACATGGACGAATAGGGAGCTTTTCATTTCCTTCAACGTGAGCCTGAGATCCATGTCCTCGTGAAATTCCGAGATCACAACGAGGACGATCGGAAGGTCTCCCGGAGGCCCAGATCGCTCCGATGAGGAATAAGGATCAGGGTGCGGAATTTCCGAAACGACAAGGATCCTTATTCCGATTCCTGTGATGGTGGGCACAGCACGGGGTCTCCGACGCCGTCCTTACGAATGTCCCGGCATGAGATCTGCGACGGACTACTCATCTCGAGGAGGGAAAGAGTAATTCCACCGTTCCTGCGAGCAGAGGCCGGACCGCGGAAAGTGACCCGGCGAGCAAGTGCGAACAGGTTGATTCACGCCGTAGCTTTTTATGTGTTTATATTTATCTTGCAAATTGTACACGGAAAGCTCTTCTACTGCGTTGCTTGAAATGACCCCTAATAAAAATGGAACTACGCGCTGATAGCGACCAACCCGAGGCGTCGGAGAACAGTGAGTGAAGAGAAAAAACCATTTAGACCAGGCGGTCCGCGGGGATGGTGTGAACTGGAGAATGTCCGTCTACGCTATCTCGCAGTCTAGGAGAATGTAGATTTAATTTGTTCGCTTCGGAAGCGGGACCGAGGCGAGAACTCCGAGTCTGAGTGGGGGGGGAAGATAGAATGGGGCAGTTTCGGTTAGAGAAACTACACGAGGACAGGATAATGGGGAATGAGCTCGTGAACCTTACTCGTCCACCGTTTTTCCTTCCCTCGCTCATGCCTCCAGTTTCTCAACGCGGAGAAATTATATTATTATCATTTCTAGTCTGGGGAATTTCCTCACATCGGCTCCGACGTCGTTGTACGTCAGTTCTGTCCTCCGGATTCCGTCTTCCCTCAATCTCCACATATTTCCCACACCCCATAAGGCTTCGAATTCATTTGTCTCTTCTCTAGCCGTTGTCAAGTCTCGGACAAAGTCATCCGCGGGCTCGAGCGAGAGGCTCGTCCGAGAGGAAGTTCTCCCGAGTAACTATAGGCGGCAGAACAACTCACTCGAGCCTAGAAGCCCGAAACACGACGTGTGCTGTTTTCCGTTGGGCTTATCCGCCGCCGCGTCCTTTGACCTCAATGCTCTTCTCCCCTTGGTCGCAAACCATTTCGAGGATGCTGCGCTCGCGAGGCCTTAAGCCATTTGGAAGAGAGTTCGCGGGATGTCTCGGCCGCCTTCTCTCCCGGTGTTTCCGACGTCCCATGCATGGCCCCCTTTCCTTCACCGTGCCCTACTGTTCCCTATTTTGAAGTTCCATTCCGGCGACGAGTCCCACTTTTTCCTGACTGAGCACGCCAAAGCCTTCTTGGTTTGCGAACGGCTGTTCACATATTCATACGTTCTCTCTTCTTTTTCTCCCTCGGCAAGGCACAAGATATGTTCTCGGTTGCGGGCTCGGCCAGCCCCCCGCGGATCTTGGCCGCTCGGAGGAATTGTGGAAAAAGAGGGAAAACTCCGCTACGTTCACATGGATCATTCTAGAATCTCAACTCGCGAATGCTCGCCTTGCGCTCGCTCCTTAGACGGTCTCGTGACATGCCTTTCATTTGAGAGCCGCGCGTGTTTTCCGCCGTCCGGGTTTTTCACCGAGAGCGACTACGGGGGCCGTTTCATTCCTGCGAGAGTTCCCACGGAATCCTGAATCCCATTGTCCTCCTAATTCTTCGCCATATGCTCAGGAGACTGGCTCTGGAAAAGCTCCAATACTCTTAGGTGCCTGGTCTTATCTTTGATGCGAGTTTGGAACACTCTCGGGAGGAGGATCGGACGAAAACGCGGCGGCATTGGCTTCGTTCGTGGCTTCTGGTCGTTTACTTAAATTGAATCACAGCGCATTGTCCGACGAGCATGCGGCCCGCCGAGTCGAATCGGGCTGTCCGCGAACTCGGCTCATACGCAGTAGTTGGCTTTACGAGTCCGAATCGGCGTCCCTTTCAAAAATCTCCAACGAATGTCGTCACAGCCCCGTCGTCAGCGGGCTACGACCTTGAGCTAGCCAAGGAACGAGCGTTCGTATGTCGTGCGTATGTGCAGACCATCACATACGGACGTACATATGTTTCGATGAAGGGACCCATGACCGTGCGACCCGACGACGATTCCTCAAACCTGCAGTTTTCCTGATGGTTTTTCCTTGTTCGACCATTCGGAGCGGCGCAGTTTTTTTAGCGTGAGTCGACGAGAGCCTTCTCTCGACGCTTTTCGCTTGTCACGAGGTTGACGATTGCATGCCGAGAGCTTTGTTCCGCGCTCAAGACGATCGTCGCTGATGTGAGCCGACTCGTGTTCGAGGGTGAATATGTCTCGCTCGTGGAACATGTTCCCCTAGATCGACATGGGCCGAGCTCGATACCTGTCCCGCGGAATCGACCGGCTTGGCCACCGCGGGTTCCCCCCCCCCCTCGGACGTCGATCCCGTTCGTGAGCTCTTGTCGCGGCTCGGAATCGACGCGTCTCGACATTATGGAGCAAGCGGGTAGGCTCGCGCCGAAAGTTGTTTCTCTAGACTTCCACGCTCCCGAGCTGTCTCTGTGCCTACATCGAGTTACCCCTACCCGGAACCCGCTGAGCGAGTCCGAGAAGAGCTCCCAGAATCAGCAGTGGAAAAGGTTTTGCGGCACGGAGATCTCTTTTATAATCCGTGAAAATTACGGAATCTGACTCGACGCACATGAAAAGCGTGCCGAGCTCCCGATAAGCGGGATTACCTACCTGAGCCATAAATGTTCAGACGTGTGCCGAGCTCGGAAAAAGAGCTTCAATCTCAGCAGAGAGGGGAAATGAGACCGTTTTCGTTATTAAACATGCTGATGCTTGCGAAGGATTCCTCATTCGGTCATCCGGATATAAAGTTAGCTCAACTCCTCAAACATTATTCTCCGGACGGACTCGGTCAGTTCCATCGAGAGTTCGTCTCGCGTCGTACTCTGCCACGCGTTTTCTGGTACCTAAGCAAACAGCCTCCGTGCCGCAAGGACTTGTGACCGAAGAGCGCAAATTTCCCGCGGTGAGTTCTAGCCGATCAGACGGCCTTTGATGCCGTCATCGATGGGGAAAAGTAATGGAATTCTGCGACAATTCACGTCCGTTTTGCGTTCCGCGATTCTCTTGCTCCCTAGTCACGACTTCCGACCTACTACCTACTCCCCACATGTGGATGGAAAGCGCCAAGAAGATCGTGAATCGTGAGACTTGACATGCTGGGTGTCTCCGTCAAATACCCGTCAATGATGGTAGTCGAGAGCGGGACGCCTCCAGCGAATCCGAATATGCTGCTTAGGGCCAACAAGAGTCTCTCAGTTCTCGTTTACGTAAGAATCCGCAGGTTTGAGTGCAGATATCCTGAATGAAGCCTCCTCGAGTCATAGGAATAAGAAATCGGGATCCGCGTGAAAGATACGGCCCCTGCCCGCGTGAGCTATTCTCGTTCTTCGCTCTCGGTCGGACTTCGGCGTGAGCCTCCACGTAATTTGCGGCAGAGGCACGCAGATAATAATCAGTCCATGGATCAGTCGACCCCTTTCAGGAATGCGTGCCGCGCGCCAGATGCGCTGGGGCAGTGAAATGAAGCGAAATTCCCATTATTACCGGAAGTGTCGAACTGACCGACGGCAAACGGACAACCTACCTACCGACCACGGAACATTTGAATT